TCTCCTCTTCCTCTCCCCAGATTCTCCTCTTCCTCTCCCTTTCTCCCACCAGCATCTCCTCCTCCTCCCCCCAGTTTCTCCTCTTCTGCTCCCCTCTCCTATTCTCCCCCAGCATCTCTTCCTCCTCTCCCTTTCTCCCCTAAGCATCTCCTCCTCCTCCTCTCCCCCAAATTCTCCTCCTCTCCCCCAGATTCTCCTCCTCTGCTCTCCCAGATTCTCCTCCTCCGCTCTCCCAGATTCTCCTCTTCTCTCCCCCCAGCATCTCCTATTCCCTCCCCGCAGCATCTCCTTTTCTCTCCCCACAGCATCTCCTCTTCTCTAGCCCAGCTTCTCCTTTTCTCTCCCGGCATCTCCTCTTCTCTCCCCAGCAGCATCTCCTCTTCTCTCCCCCAGCATCTCCTCTTCTCTCCCAGCATCTCCTCTTCTCTCCCCCAGATTTTCCTCTTTTCTCCCCCAGCATCTTCCCCTCACTACCCCAGCATCCCCCTTCCCCAGTATATTCCCCTCTCCCTCCCAACACATAAATAATGTGTTTGTTTTTGGTGCGGGTGGGGGTTTTGCTGTGATATTGGGGGAGGGTGCTGTGTGTGTGTGTGCGCATGGGGGGGTGCTGCTGCAAAACAGCTACAATCTGTAGCCCCCTCCCTTCTTCTTACCTTTGGTGAAGGAGTGGGGACACAGAAATCCCTAGTGATCCGGTGGTGGTAAGAGGGACATGTTCTGCAGCTCTCCTGTCCTCCCACGCGATGCTGTGTGGAGCGTTGCCATAGTAACGCACGGCAACGCTCCACACAGATTGCTCACAGGAGGACAGGAGAGCTGCTTCTCAGATCCCTCCCCCTGTCCTCCTGACACAGAAGCAGAGTAGGTGCCTGCTGTTTTGGATGCATTGATGGCAACCGATGGCCGCGTGCCCACAGAGAGGGACGGCATGCCACCTGTGGCACGCATGCCATAGGTTCGCCATCACTGCCCTAGAGGGTTCCACATTCCACTATGACCTACAAGTCGTGGATGAGCACTGTGCATGGTATTCTGATGACGAATCCCCAACTGATGTACTACACACTAATATTCCTTATGTCAAGGAGTCTTTTGTTAATCAGCCTCTGGTTTCCCAAGCCTCTAACACAATGAATCCCTCAAAGACCCAGGATCAGTCTACCTTACTAGATCCTAGTGGCCAAACCCTTAGTCGATCCCAGGAGCATTGAAAATTCCCGCTCGGCTGAGTTGGTCCCATCAGACCATATAGCCCAATTCTGCAGAATGTGGCTCTGCAAGCCTCTTGAAAAGGAGATTCTGAATAAGATGATAGCAGAATGTCCATGTCCAACAATACCTGACAAGATGGCACTCACTCACACCTGAATTTGATCTGCTCCTGATCACTTTTCTAAGCAGGTTGGGTAAAAACCCCCGCAAAGGCCTTGAACGGGGTCTAAAAGCAGTTCAGGACAAGTTGCTTGACATCGCTGACCCCATTATACAAATCTTTATTTTTGCTGATGAAGCTCTAACAGACTGTACCTTGGATCCACTTTTGGTACAAGAATGGGCACAGAGGGCCTTATGTTTACTTGGCAATGCTAATGTAGCCATTTCAACTGAAAGACGTAAAGCTGTTTTATACAAGATTGACCCAAAATTGGCAGATTTGAGTTCTAAAGAACTCGGTCCAGAATTCATGAGAGACCTCAACAGACATGTTTCTGTTTTCACCTCTCTTAATAAAGCTCAAACATGCCTACGCAGAGTGATCCACTCTCGTAATTTTTCTGACAGGACCAGTCACCATAGAGGCCGAGCTACCAGCAGGACTGCCTTCACAGGCTATAGGCCTCGTGCCACTGAATCTTGGAACTTGGTTTATACCTGCCCCTTTCACAGACAACTCTTCACAAACAGAGGATCAATCAGAGGACTTGGTTCTGCTTCTCTCATGGGTCGCAGTGCTGCAGTTATCCAACCTACCTTATTTTTTAATACCGATTGCAGGCCGTCTAACCCATTTTTTCCCATAGTGGTCTCTACTCACTCAGGATCCTTAGATCCTTAAGCTGTTTCAGCATTTCACACAGATTTAATCTCAGACCCACTACAAGAGTTTCCTCCTCATCCTCTAAGCATGTCCCAATCGGACACAGCCATTTTACACTCAGAACTCTGCAATCTCAGAGACAAGGGTTCGATTGAACATTCTCCATTCCCACAACCAGGTTTCTTAACATTATTTTCCTGGTCCGGAAGATATCCAACAAACTTCACCCCACCATCAATTTAAGAAACTTAAATCAGTTCATAGTATATCATAATTTCAAAATGGAAGGCATACACATGCTTCGAGACCTCCTCTGTGAGGGAGATTGGTTCTCCCACTTTTATTTAAGATGCTTATCTTACAGTTCCGGTGGCATCTTCCCATCGCCCATTTAAACAATTCCTCTGGCAACAAGATCTCTTGCAATTCACTTGCCTCCCTTTTGGTCTCTCTTCCACCCCTTGGTGTTTCACCAAGTTGATGAAACCAGTTATGGCTCTTCTCTGTTCCCAAGGTATCAGATCTATAATCTTTCTAGACGACATCCTAATTATAGCTCTAGATCTGTTCACCCTTCACAAACATACAGAAATGACTAAATCTCTCCTTCAGAACCTCGGATTTGTAATCAATTTTGAGAAATCTTCTCTGATCCGATCTCAGACTATTCTTTTCTTGGGTTTTCAGTTGATAACCCCATTAGGTTGGGGGGCTACCTGCTCTGACCTCTCCAAGGGCAGACTCTGGACACAGTCTGAACTAACGTTTCATATCACACTGATGGCCGTCTCCTTAGCGATTTGAAACTTCGCCAAGGACGCCTACAACTGTTCTTTGCTTCTCAGGATGGACGTTTCTGCTGTCCATGAAGTCAATCGTCTAAGGGGTTCTTAATCAAAACTCCTTTCAGACCTTACGAGAGAACTTGATCAGACTGACGCCTTTTTCAGTTGGTTACCAGATCCGATGCCTCAAGCAGTCAGTGCATTGCTACAACCAAGGCCATCGACAGGGGCTTATGCCTTTCCACTCTTTTCGATGATCTCTTGAACTCTTCATTGTCTCAGGGTTCTTGGAATCAAGATCCTCTTAATAACTCCTCTCTGGAGGGCACAGCCTTGGTATCCCACTCTCCTAGAAATGTTTGCAGATTACATATGCTTCTCCTGGTATCTCACCCTCCAAGATTCTATAGGGGACTTCCATTCTCTCACCATCCAAGGTAGTCTTTGACTCATGACTTGGACAGTTTCAGGGTATCCTGGTATGTCTCAGGACTTTCAGACTCTGCTTGAGGACTCCTCTGGGATTCATGGGGCTCCAGACCTCGGATAGCATACCTTTCAGCATGATGTTTTCTGGGTTAGCTGGTGTTTGGAAAGGGATATTGATCCCTTTTTCAACTACTTTGGTGAATATTATGAACGTCCTATCTTCTCTTTTTTACAAAGGAAAGTCTTACCATACCATAAATGTTTTTTGTTCTGCTATTTCGGCAGCTCATATCCCGACTGACGTGTTTCTGGTTGGAAAACATCCTTCTGTTTGCAAATTGATACAGGGTATTCGTCTTTCTCGACCCCTGGCTCCTCGATACATTGAATTATGGGATGTAGCTCCGATTTTATCATTCCTGGAAGCATGGCCTTCTAATTCTGAACTTTCCTTGCGCCAGCTCTCAGCCAAACATTTTTGCATTGTTTGGTTTCGTTTCGTCAAGATTCTGACATCATGTCCTTTAGCTTCCACGTTTTTGCATTCACCCCTGAGGGTGTAAGTTTTTCCATTGATCGTCGCACAAAGGTTCTTTCCACCTTTGTTTTTTATCCTTACTTTCCGGATAAACCTTCTCTTTGTGTTGCTCGTTGCTTACAGCGATACTTATCTCCCCTCTTCAGGACCTCTGTTGGTATCTTATATTCGTCCTTATAACCTTGTGTCCAGTCCTATGACTGCTCGTTGGATCTGTCTAGATGTCTTCTGATTGGTTGATTTTGTAAAGAAAGTAAAGCAAATATTCGCCTCCTGTAATAAAATTTAGATTATTCGGTCACTGAAGCTAGAATAATCCCTAATTATATATTGTTAAAACCTGTTAATCCTACTGTCCAACTATGCACATGTATTTAGCTAAATTAGTCCTGAACACAATTGGACATGGAAGTCTATCCTGCATATGTAATTTTAAATAAAAAGTGGTGCTTGATTATGTTGTTGGGGCACTGCAGGCATCCATGTATTATCTTTTGGCACTGAAGAAAATAAAGATTTTTTTTTTTTTTTTAAATGTGTGAAACATTACGAGATTGTGTTATTTTCTTAGTTCTGCGTGGCGGATTAACTGTGCTAACACTGTTAGCGTTTACTGCAATAAAATACACTTATTTATGTTCAGCGATGTCTCCCGAATACAGCAGTAACCCCCGTGTACAGGTTTTATGGGGTTTTGGACACTTGCATTGTTCAATATGAAGCTTGCCAATTTCAGTTTTTTACACATTGGAAATTCGCCAGATTGATTATGTTGCCTTTGAGACCGGCCCAAGAATGAAAACGAACTCCATTATGGCATAGCATTTTCAAAACTAGACAACCCAGGGTATTCAAAACGGGGTATGTCCATTCTCTTCGTAGCCACTTAGTCACAAACCCTGTTAGCTTTCATATTTATTTTTTGCATGTTTCACAAATAAACTGACCTTTCATCAGTATTGTACATTTAACTGCTATAAAACACTCATATTTCAGGTGTACTCCATGTACAGGTTTTATGGTGCTTTGGAAAGTTATAGAGTTACAGGTTACATCTAAAATAATACAGACAAACAACCACAGAGAGGAAGTAAAATTGGTGCAAGGTGCTACCGCCCCCCTTCCAACTCCACCCCACCCCCCCCCCCAAAAAAAGCTACATAAACAATAACTGTAAAAATAATACATCCTACTGCACACATGTAGAGCTAAATATAAACAATATATCTTTATTCCATCAAAAATAAGATTGAAAACAAAAAAAACACAGTAATACAATTTTATCAAATAGATATTTCTTATTTTACAAAAAAGTAAGTACACTTACAAGTACAGATGTTTTGCTACACCTCCCATGATGCTTTGTCAGTATTATGGGTGTAAAAGCATTATGGGGGACGTAGTCCACAACATTTGGAGTGCCGAAGGTTGCCTGTCGCTGCTATATTGTATGCAAAGGCAAAAAAAGACAAACATCTGGATAAAATACCTTAAAGTAGTCACAGGAGTCAATGAACCAACTCCCAGCGTTTTGGCTATAGAGCACAGACACACTGCATCTCCAGCACACACAATCCTCTATCTCATACTATATCCCCAACACACACTACATCATTAGTACAACAATATATTCTTTACATAGACTGCATCACCAGAAAAAACTCACTACATCACCTACAGACGCTACCACATATACACACACACATTGCATCCCCTATACACACATTCCGTACACAAACACCACATCCCTCGCACATGCACTACAACTCCAATGCACACACTTTATATATCTGTACATCCCCTATACACAAATTCACTGTATTCCGTACACAAAACCCACATCCCTCGCACATGCACTACAACTCCTACGCACACACTTTATATATCTGTACATCCCTTATACACAAATTCACTGCATTCCGTACACAAACGCCACATCCCTCGCACATGCATTACAACTCCTATGCACACACTTTATATATCTTTACATCCCCTATACACACACACTACACCACAAACCGTACCCACAAGTAGTCTTTAAAAACATTAACAATTCCATTTTCTGCCCCCTGCCCCACTTTGTCCTCTGGTATACCACTTATGGAGATACAATATTATTATTGGCATTTATATAGTGCCAGCTTATTCTGCAGCACTTTACAAAATTATAAAGGAGGAAATCTGACAATAAATGAGACAATTATGAAGTTACAGGAACAATAGATTGACAAGAACCCTACTCAAACAAGCTTACAGTCTAGAGGACGGGGGTAAGAAACCATAGACAAGTCACAAGTAATTGTGAGGTGTATTACAAAACAACTTTGTGATACTGACATGCAAAATTCACATTACACTGTGAGGCCACTAACACAGCTCAAGCACTGGGTCCCCTTTGGCCTCCCTCCAAGCCCGTCCTCAAGGCCTACCTCCAAGTCTCGCACACAGGGCCTGCCTCCAAGTCCACCCGCAAGGATGCAGTGTTTGTAGAGTGGATACAGGGTGTGTGTTTTTTGTGGATGCAGTGTGTGTTTGTGTATTGGATTTCAGAGTTAGAGTTTTGACTTATTAAAAAATATAATAATAAAAAAACAGATAAAACCATGATGTTTTGAACAACAACTGCTAGCCCATTTTCCCCAAATCGCTGTCATTTTACAGATGAATTTCAATTCTTTAGATATTTCTTGGATTTGACATGGATTCTGGATCAGTTTAATAAATTCTTGCAGGTCTATTATATCTACAGGAACAAAATCAGGTTTGTTTTCTTGTTCTCTCCCCAAAAAATATTCATCCTCAGAAATATGTTAAATTCTGAATCAGTTTGTGCCGAATAAATTTTTTTATTATTTCTGCTTCCCCGTTAATACTATGAGCCTTCTGGAAAAAAGAAGAAAAGAGACAGGTATGAATTTTCTGACAATCCTCCTTTAGAGGGCTCTATATTTTAAACTCCTCTTTTAAACATTGCCAATATTCATGGACAAAATATTAAAAATGTGACAGGTTATTGATTAAAGGAGACATATGTATCAATTAAGATTTACATTTTTCTCATATTTTGTGGCAAAATATGAAATTGCTTCAAATCAACAGCAGTTATAGAGATTGTAGACATGCATTTGTTTGGTTTCAGACAAGTTTCAGAGGTGTCAGAATTCCTTCATTCCTACACAACGAAATGAAAACGAGCAAATTCAGTACAAATGGATCCAAACTTTTTCAGATCCATTCGTGTTCTTAAGGATAGCAAATTATGGACTTCTCGATTAAGAATCTGAAATAGTAAATTAAGAAAAAGTTCTTTCATCTTTCAGTTGTATTGAAGATAGCTCTCTAATTTGCTATCCTCACATGGGATTGACTATGGAACGTTTGTGTTTAGTAAGTATCTCCCTAATTTGCTTCTGGCAATCTCAGTTAAGGCTACCAGTAGGGATCTAAATACAAAATCGTAGCCTGAAAGATCAAAATTAATAAATAAACAGGTGTTTTTTTATCTTTCAGTTGTTTAGCAGATATCTCCCTAATTTGCTATCCTGTGTATATCCTATACATTCTATACACATGCAACACATATATTCGCTGTACCTACTATCCTTTCTATATTATTGTTCACCCATTCTGCTTCCATTGGAAGGCCATTTCGGATATCAACTACGTCTTACAATATCACAACTTTCCAGTGGAAGGGGTAAATTCTAACAGTGATATACAAAGGGTAGTAGATACATGGAACAGCCTTCGAGTGGAAGTGGTAAAGGCTAATAGTAATATAGAAAGGGTAGTGGATACTTGGTACAATCTTTCAGTGGAAGTGGTAAAGGCTAACATGGGTTATATGTACTGCATGTGTATAGAATGTATGTGATATACACAGGTTAGCAAATTAGGAAACAATCCTCTAAACAGCTAAAAGATCAAAAGTAAGAAAAGCCATTTTTTCTATTTAATTGTTCTGGCAGCTGTTTAGTAGATTGTTCCCAAATGGTACAATTATGTACAGCGCTATGGACTTTGCTGGTGCTTTATAAATAATAAAATAATAATAATAATGTGAGATTTTAATTTTAAGAATACCAAATCAGGGAGTTATCTATTAAACAAAATAGATCCCTACTTTATTAATTAAGGCAATCCCACATAATTAAGGCCTTAATTAAGGCAATCCCATGTAAGGATATCAAATCAGAAAGCTATTTACTAAACAGCTGAAAGATCAAAATTAAGAGAAATAAAAGCCTTTATCAATTTCTTTTCAGGCAGCTGTTTAATAGAGAGCTCCCTAATTTGGAATATAAAATGTGGAATTACTATTTTTAAGGATACCAAATTAGGGAGCTATCTGCTAAATGGTGCACTAATTTATTATCCTTTAGAATAACCGTGTCCAAATTTTGTTTCAGTTCCGAATCAATAATTCCAAACTTCACACAACCTGAAATTTGGAAATTAATGAATTGACAAAAAACAATTAAAACAAATTGAAGGGATACATATAAAGATACACAAAATGCTGAAGTAGATGAATTGAACTCTTCTTTTAGCCAGTTTTATAATATAATATGTGATATAAAAACCCAGGTAAGTAAAGGCACAGAAACTTACACCCATGTTCTTTAATGTCGCCTTATTGTAGTAATGGATTGACTGATTTTTATTGGTAGAGGCAGGGTATCCAAATCCCGCTATATGGACCAGGTCGCAGAAATGAAGAGCGAAGGTTATCGCCAGCATACCGGTGGTCGGTTTCTGGAAAATATACACAAATCAGTGTAACTCTAGCCAAACTTAGCCATTAATTAATAAACTGTTTAAAGACTGGTCCCCTCACAGGATCGCATTGTGTATCGCACCATTCCGTCCCGCGGAGAGCGGCGTGGTATGAGACAGACAGCTGGAATCATATCTACAGTATTAAAGACGAAATGGTCATTATGGGGTCAGAATTTGGAGTGGAGCGTTCCTTCAAACATTCATGCACACAGAGAACGTCTTATTAAAGAAATATCAAAAAGCAAGCGACTGATTCAATCTGGAGGAACACTTTGGAAGGAAGTATGTAGTAATGAACATTTTGCCAAATGCAAGACTTGAATCTACAGCTAAAACAAGGATATTTTCTGCTTCTTGTACTTTCTATTGTAAAAGGGCATAAAAAAGAACGGAACGTTTGCTTTGGTTCTCCTGTTTGTTATACCTTTTACTAATGGCAAACAACGATGCTGCTTTTGACAAAAAATATACAAATAAATTACAATGATAATATAAATAAAAACACGGTCTGATAGTAACCTAATACACATGCAGAATGGCGCCCCCTGTGGTGCATACTGCTAATCACAGTGAATGTTGCTTACCACTCTAATTCGCTTCTTTGAATCCTGCCCAGGATTCAGCATCTTTGTTCCAGCGACTTCCATATAATAAGGATTTAGGATTCTGAAATTTCGAAGGTCTGCTTCCCAAATTATAGGAGGCATCTTCCAAAATCCTTTGCGAACCTAAAAAGAGCAGAATTGACACTTTGAAATTATATTTTTGTACGTCTTCAGAACAGCTAGCAGGAAGTGTGCCAAAATGCATTCAAATATATTTTATTTGTGTGAGGGGCAAATAAGGCCGTATAGGAAGTAAAAGGGAAATAAGTCGGTTGAGGTGTGCCGGAACTGACGTCGTGGTAGGTCTGTAATAAAAGAGGGCCCACCCATGAGGTGTAATGAAAGTATAGATAGAGGGAGTAGAGGGTGGGGACATGCGATTCGCTAAAAAACGTACGGGACGGAGGAAGGTGAGATGGGGGGGGTTTAAATAGGTACCATGTCCCTCCCACAACTGCAGGACAAGCCTTAACATTTGTGTGAGGGGGCAAATAAGGACGTATAGGAAGTAAAAGGGAAATAAGTCGGTTGAGGTATGCCGGAAACGACGTCGTGGTAGGCCTGTAATAAAAGAGGGCAAAAATTGGGTACCTGTCAGAAACGAAAAACCATCAACAAAACCTAATTGCTTAGCTGTATGGTAAATGCCGAGCGAGGAAATAGTTGCCCAGCACTTTAGCCGGCACTCTTAATTGTGCAAGGGGAAGTAAGGTATATTAAAAGTGTTGGCCCCCTAGGGTAGACTAAATGTGGGGTAGAGAAGGTAATCAATAGACTGCATGAAAAGGTGAGACTTCCCAAGATAATGCTGCAAGAAGGACGTGGTGGCTGTGGTAAAGTATGTGAGACCCAAGAAACTGTGGAAGCAGGAATAGTGGCTCAACAACTAGATTACAAAGTTAAAGTGACTAGTGCCCATTAAGTACAGCCTTCCTCACATTTGTGTTTAAACGGTTAATCCAAAATAAGGCGAAAAACACAGTTTGAAGCGCTGCCAATTTGCAACAAGCTGGGAAAAAATTCCTTCTTGACTCCATAATGGCAGTCAGATTTTCCTTGGATCAAGCAGTTATTGCCCTACATTGAAGGTTGATGCCCGGTTCGTTGTGACAGGCATTTAATAAGTCTGATAGTGAATGAGATACTTGGATGTCGATGTGAAATCTGTAAATTTGAAATTCCCTGGAACCTGAAATGCCTTGAGTATGCTAATAGTCTGGAATGAGGACATGAAACTGTGTATGAATGGTAAACCTGTACAACATGGGGAGTTGTGAACCGGATAGGTAGAGTTGATGCAAGTTAGAGGTGGCAAAAGAAGCAAACCCAAAATGCAGACAACATAGCTACAGGAACAGTATCGGTATACGCGAAGAAGGAGCTTCAAAGGGGAAGAAGGCCCAAACACACGAAACCGCGAGCATTGGAAAAAGAGCCAGATGCGAAAAATGACGACCATGAGCTAACCAGGCTGGCAGCCCATGGTCGGACCCCCGAAAGGTGCTGGAAGCCTGGATCGGAACCAGCCAAACTGGCAGATGCCAGTTACCCCAAACTACCATCCGACACCGCCCCATAGACGACAGCAGCGAAGACAACTAGGAGGCGAAACGGAGAAGTAAGAGCGAACTCGGGGCCCCCCACCAGTAACAGTGTTAACTGTGGAGTGCGGACTGAGAGTTCAGCTGTCCGAAAGGCTGCCGGGTGGGGGGAAAAAAAAGGGGACTTGAGAGAACCGCAGCGAAGCAAGGAAGGGCCCAGGACACGAAAAAGGTAGGAGTAGCTGAAGCACCACAGCGTGAAGGGTACCAGACCAAGCCAGAGAACCCAGGTGGACAATACCACACCAACGCCTAGCAGTGGAGACCTGCTAAAAAAGAGACGAATAGGCAGCGCATAAGCAACCCAATGCGTGTGTGTGTGGGTATATGTATGTGTGCTAGCATACTAGCTAATACCAAAAGGTGAAGCAATTAAAAACTAGTTTTGGTGACAGGTGAGGCCCTGTTAGATGCCAAGCAGCGTGAGAGGCTCTATCTATGAGTTGGCGCGAGGGGATAACGTGGCCACTGAGCGTTGTGGCGGGGTGTTGGCCTCTCGGTGACAGGTAACATAAGATAAAATGGGAGTGACAGGTGAGGCCCTCCCTATGCCACAATGTGAGGTGACTAACTATGATTTGGCCGAGGGGCGCAGTACCTCCGAGTATGAGGATGGGTGTTGGCCACGAAGGACCACTAACCTAAGGCGAAGAAGCCAGGGGGGAATTACAAACTAGTGGACCCTCGGACCCTCACAGCCAGCCACTGCTAAGAGGGGAGGGAAGGTAGTGTGAGAGAGGACGGATTTGCTGAACGTGTATCAAAAACGTGAGGGTGAACGAGGAAATACCTCAGGGCCGACCGTAACCGAAAGCAGAGTAAGCACGTCAGAGTCCAGGGGGACAGGCTGAAAGGAGTGAGCTCGGCAGCAGGCAACAGAAACCGTGGTGGTGTAAACCCCACGGGGGTAACAAGACCCAGTGCGAGCATGTGTGTGTGTGATTGTGCGCAGGAGTGCTGGCATACTAGCTAAGCCAAAAGGCGAAACAATTAAAACTAGGTTTGGTGACAGGTGAGGCCCTGCTAGATGCTAAGTGGCGTGAGAGGCTCTATCTATGCATTGGCGCGAGGGGATATCGTGGCCACTGAAATGTTGTGACGGGGTGTCGGCCTCTCGGTGACAGTTAAACATAAGATAGAATGGGAGTGACAGGTGAGGCCCTCACTATGCCACAATGCGAGGCGACTAACTATGATTTGGCCCCAGGGGCGTAGTACCTCTGAGTATGATGATGGGTGTTGGCCTCGCGCGACCACTAACCTAAGGCGAAGAAGCCAGGGGGAAATTACCACTATTGGACACCTAGTACCCTGACAGCCAGCAACAGCTACATAAGAGGGGAGGGTAATGAGTGAGAGAGGGGACGTACTGTGTGAAATGAAAAGAAAAAGGGGGCGGGGTATGAGGGAGAATCGTAGGGGCTGACCGTAACTGGAGGGCAGAGTGAGCCCGGCAAACTCCAGGTGGTCAGGCTGTAGGAGTACACAAAGGAAATAGGAAAAGAAAGCGCATGCGCGTGTATGGCCCACAGGTCTCGTAAGGGCCAGAACACATTCCCGGTAACAAAACATAATGCTCCTACTGGAAAATAACACGGTTATGGCTGGCAGACATGGCCCATCCAAGCAAAGAAACGAAAGCCCAAAGTTAAACGCAGGACAGACCCCGTGACGGGACCGAAACCACTCGTTAGCAGCAACCACGTAGCTTAATACCGCGTATTGAAATGGTAGGGAAGGAAACTCGAATGAGATACACCCTCTCATTTTCCTTTTTTTTTTTTTATAGAAGTATAGATTAAAATTGAAGATTATACTAGTAATCTTAATTTTAATAATGACAGGAGGCGAGTATTTGCATTAACTTTCTTTACTAACTCCATAGCAGCAAAGAAAATACTGTTAAAAGAAAGAATCAGAGTGCGTCAGAGAGTATATAAGTCCAAGCATGACCAATCATTTCCTCTTGGCTAGAGCGACATCACAAGTCTGTAAAATATTAACTTTGTCCAATTCAACTTGAACTCTTAATCCAACATGGAAACATTAGGGAATATAGTCTTCTCCATCCCTGAGACTTGTTAAACTGAAAAGAGAGAGAGACTAGTATCAGTGATATTGAACAGGCCGTATGAAGCATGTGTCTAGGAACGTATGTATAAACTCCTAAATAGAAATAGAGGGGAAGAGTCTGCGCTGACTCAATTGAGCAGCAACCCTGAAAGGGAATCCCTCACAGAACCCTTATAAGGCAAAAAGATACAGAAAAAGGAGTTGGGGGCTGCGCTTAGCAAAGGATAGGCAAAAGAAGGTAAAAATAAATGAAGGTAAAAAACAATAAGTTCATCCACATATAAGAGAAGTATAAGTTAAAACAATCTCACTGATGTGCAGTGATATAATGTAAGTCCTCAAATGTCACTCCGTCCTTATGGTAGGTGGTCCATATATGTGAAGACAAAAATGAGAGAAGAAAGGCTTCCAATGGTGAAATATTGTATGTCCAAGGTGTAATATATATTCAAAGGAAAAGGTATTTCACTCACATTTGTTGGAGCTTTATCCAGCTCTTGGAGAGAAGGCACTTAGTGGTTTGATCCCCACTATCGGATATACTGAACAGTTGGTCTGTCCGTCCGGTTTGAAGTTTCTTTAGTGTAGGCTAGGACCTACTCAGATGTGCAATATTCGTTATGCTGGGGAGATAGGTCCGCCTTTCCGGTATTGGATGGTAGGTGTCCACGAGATATATAAAACAGCAGATAGTGCTCTCAGTATGAACAACACAGTAATATGTATAAATCAGTTATACTTACAAAAATAGAGCAGACAGATACTGCTCTATTCCCACAGCGCTGGTGGAATTATCCCCACCTCAGGATTTCTTTAGACGGAATGCACTCCAGTGGTAGATAATAAAATAAAATAATACAGTAAAAGTATAAAATAAAATTAAAAATAAAAATAAAAATAAAGTAATGGAGTAATTTAAAATAATTGTATATAGTAAAAATATGCCAGGAGTAAAAAATAAATAAATAAAAGTGTATAGAGTACAATAAAATAGGTAAAAAATTGGTCCTATATTGAAAGGTAACCAAAAAATAACTTTTATTGACTAAAATACACTTATAATAACCATTTACGCGTTTCACCTTTAAGGTTTTTTCAAAATGGTAAAAGAACAGTACACCTGGCAAAAGGTTGAATATATAGGTTCACAAGGGTTTGAAAATGGCGCCAAAATTAGATGCACCAATCACAATAAAGATTAAAATCAATATTTAAAATACATTTCAAAATAACTTTTAAACATGATAAATGCATTAATATAAGCCTAGTTAGGCTTAAAATATATACATATAATAAAAACGAAGCTTTAGGACGATATAATTTGTTGTTGGTTCCGATCACGTGATCGGGACGCTGCGCGCATGCGCAGATCGTTTTTTCGGCAAAACACTTCCTGGTGTGAACGGAGTGCCCGGTGGCCGGCTGGTAATGCAAAGTATGTTGGGAAATGAAGTCCAGCCGGTCACTGGGCACCCCTACATGCTGTTATACACCAGGAGTGATATAATTATTATAACATAAGACCCCAATATGTTATAAATACATTTTTAAATGTAACCTGCACAGACTTTGTATTTATATAAAAGACTCAGAGCATACACTAGATACAGAACATAATATAAAATCATAATAATGATGTAAACATGGTTTAAAAGTACTTTGCTAAAAATATAATAAAAAAAATAAATAAAATAAAAATAGCATCAGAATAATTAAAAATATGTACATTAAAATTAGGGTATGGCATAAATTAAGGTAAAACATGATGGTAAAATAAGGTGGGTATGAAATATAATTAAAAGACTTTCTATAAAAAATTATGCAGATCAAAATCTGCATTAAGTCCGTTGGGTATTAGGGTCTGTAGCTTATAGACCCATTCCATCTCTGTTTTACCTAAAATATTTTTTATATCTCCTCCTCTCCAAGGTAGAGAACATTTTTTAATTCCCATATATTTTAACATTTTGGGGTCTTTATTGTGAATTAAAAAATGTTTGGATAGAGAGTGATTTAAAAAACCATTCTTAATATTCCTACAATGCTCACCTAATCTTATTTTTAAACATCTAGTGGTCATTCCGACGTATTGGAAGCCACACGGGCATTCCAGTAAGTAAATGACATTCTTAGTGTTACATGTAATGAATTCCTTTATTTTAAAGGAGGTTTTGGTTTTATTTGAAATAAATTGTATTATTTTAGGTGGCATTGTAGGGTCGGCTGTTTTGCATGCAATACAATTCTTACATTTATAAAAACCTGAAGATTGGGGGGAAAAAGACACACTTGGTTTAGGTTTTTTAGTAAAATTGGTAGTTAGAATGGATTTCACATTGGGGGCCCCTCTAAAAATTATACTCGGTTTTTTTGGAATGATTTTGGAGAGTTTTTCATCATGTTCTAGGATATGCCAGTGTTTATGAATGGTCTTCCTTATTTCTTTACTTTTATTGTTATAGTTAAAAATGATGGGGAGAGATATAGAGTCATTTTTAATTTTTGGTTTATACTTTAAGAGCTCATCTCTGTTTTTGTTTTTTATCTCATTTATATTTTCAAGTAAATCTTTTTCTGGATAGTTTCTCTCCATAAATTTGTTTTTAAGGGCATTGGCTTGTTCTTCGAAATTTCCTAGTTCTGTGCAATTTCTGCGTAATCTAAGGAATTGGCTTTTCGGAGCACTGTCAAGCCACGGTTTATAATGGCAACTATTTTTATCGATGACTGTGTTAACACAGACTTCTTTAAAGAAGGTTTTTGTATTAATTTTCCCATTTTTTATGAATATATTAAGATCTAGGAAATTTATTTGTTCTTTGCTAAAATCGTGAGTTAAAATTATGCCCCTATTATTGGTATTAAGAACATTTAAAAAAGAGATAAGACTATCTTCCGATCCATTCCAGATAAAAAAAGAGATCATCAATGTATCTAAAATATGAGACCAGGTTTGCCCTTAGGTGGTTGCCATTATAAATAGCTGTTGATTCCCAGTCTGCCATAAATAGGTTGGCATAACTGGGGGCAAACCTGGTACCCATGGCGGTTCCTCTTCTTTGGAGGTAAAAAGAGTCTAAAAACCAAAAATAATTGTTTTTTAAAATGATATTGATACCCTCTAAAATAAAATCAATTTGTACTTCCGGAATTCTATCTTCCTTTTTTAAAATATTTCTAATGGCTTCGCATCCAATATCATGAGGTATAATCGTGTAGAGTGATTGGACGTCACAGGTGACCAGAATAAAATTAGAGTCCCATATAAAATCATTTAAAAAATTTAAAAGGGACATAGAATCCTGGAGATAAGACTTCATCTTTTTAACAGCAGGCTGCAGGAGATTGTCTATGTACTGGGATAGGTTGCATAGGAGCGAATCTATCCCCGACACTATCGGTCTACCTGGAGGGTTAGTAGCATTTTTATGTATCTTTGGCAGGAAGTATATTACTGGGATTTTAGGAAATTTTTTATTTAAAAAGTTATATTCTTGCTTAGTTAAAATAGCTTGAGATATTCCTTTATTTAAAAACGTTAAAAAGAGGGTCTGAATAGTTTTTGTTGGTTCTGATAGGAGTTTTTCGTAAACTTCTGGGTCATTTAGTTGTCTGTGCGCTTCTTCAATGTACATGGCACTCGATAAGATGACCAGGCCGCCACCTTTATCGGCAGGTTTTATTACAATGTCGTTATCATCTTGTAGTTCTTTAAGTGCTTGTTTTTCTTTGTTTGTTAGATTTTGTTTATCATATTTGTTGGTCTGTAATTTGTTTAGGTCATGTGTGACTAATTTTTCAAAGACAGTTAAAGGGGCAGTTTTCATAAAAGCTGGATAAAATTTAGATTTTTCTTTAAAATGCGTATTGATAATTTGTTTTTTTGGGGAAGAGGTAGAGGATAAAATTGCACTATTGTCAGTAGGGTTGTTAAGAATAGAATTATCTTCAATTTTCTCATTAAAATAACGTTTCAGGGTTGCTTTGCGGACAAACTTGTTAATATCAATAAAAGCTTCAAAGGATTTAAAAGAATTGGTTGGAGCAAATTTGAGACCTTTATTCAGAACCGACAGTTGGGCTATAGTGAGAGTTTTTTGTGAGAGATTAAAAATCCCACTATTCAAGTTTTTGGGGGGACTCATTATCTTTCTATTTTTTCTCTCTTGTTCCCGTCTGCTTGACAGTGCTCCGAAAAGCCAATTCCTTAGATTACGCAGAAATTGCACAGAACTAGGAAATTTCGAAGAACAAGCCAATGCCCTTAAAAACAAATTTATGGAGAGAAACTATCCAGAAAAAGATTTACTTGAAAATATAAATGAGATAAAAAACAAAAACAGAGATGAGCTCTTAAAGTATAAACCAAAAATTAAAAATGACTCTATATCTCTCCCCATCATTTTTAACTATAACAATAAAAGTAAAGAAATAAGGAAGACCATTCATAAACACTGGCATATCCTAGAACATGATGAAAAACTCTCCAAAATCATTCCAAAAAAAACGAGTATAATTTTTAGAGGGGCCCCCAATGTGAAATCCATTCTAACTACCAATTTTACTAAAAAACCTAAACCAAGTGTGTCTTTTTTCCCCCAATCTTCAGGTTTTTATAAATGTAAGAATTGTATTGCATGCAAAACAGCCGACCCTACAATGCCACCTAAAATAATACAATTTATTTCAAATAAAACCAAAACCTCCTTTAAAATAAAGGAATTCATTACATGTAACACTAAGAATGTCATTTACTTACTGGAATACCCATGTGGCTTCCAATACGTCGGAATGACCACTAGATGTTTAAAAATAAGATTAGGTGAGCATTGTAGGAATATTAAGAATGGTTTTTTAAATCACTCTCTATCCAAACATTTTTTAATTCACAATAAAGACCCCAAAATGTTAAAATATATGGGAATTAAAAAATGTTCTCTACCTTGTAGAGGAGGAGATATAAAAAATATTTTAGGTAAAACAGAGATTTTTTATAGAAAGTCTTTTAATTATATTTCATACCCACCTTATTTTACCATCATGTTTTACCTTAATTTATGCCATACCCTAATTTTAATGTACATATTTTTAATTATTCTGATGCTATTTTTATTTTATTTATTTTTTTATTATATTTTTAGCAAAGTACTTTTAAACCATGTTTACATCATTATTATGATTTTATATTATGTTCTGTATCTAGTGTATGCTCTGAGTCTTTTATATAAATACAAAGTCTGTGCAGGTTACATTTAAAAATGTAGTTATAACATATTGGGGTCTTATGTTATAATAATTATATCACTCCTGGTGTATAACAGCATGTAGGGGTGCCCAGTGACCGGCTGGACTTCATTTCCCAACATACTTTGCATTACCAGCCGGCCACCGGGCACTCCGTTCACACCAGGAAGTGTTTTGCCGAAAAAACGATCTGCGCATGCGCGCAGCGTCCCGATCACGTGATCGGAACCAACAACAAATTATATCGTCCTAAAGCTTCGTTTTTATTATATGTATATATTTTAAGCCTAACTAGGCTTATATTAATGCATTTATCATGTTTAAAAGTTATTTTGAAATGTATTTTAAATATTGATTTTAATCTTTATTGTGATTGGTGCATCTAATTTTGGCGCCATTTTCAAACCCTTGTGAACCTATATATTCAACCTTTTGCCAGGTGTACTGTTCTTTTACCATTTTGAAAAAACCTTAAAGGTGAAACGCGTAAATGGTTATTATAAGTGTATTTTAGTCAATAAAAGTTATTTTTTGGTTACCTTTCAATATAGGACCAATTTTTTACTTATTTTATTGTACTCTATACACTTTTATTTATTTATTTTTTACTCCTGGCATATTTTTACTATATATAATTATTTTAAATTACTCCATCACTTTATTTTTATTTTTAATTTTATTTTATACTTTTACTGTATTATTTTATTTTATTATCTACCACTGGAGTGCATCCCGTCTAAAGAAATCCTGAGGTGGGGATAATTCCACCAGCGCTGTGGGAATAGAGCAGTATCTGTCTGCTCTATTTTTGTAAGTATAACTGATTTATACATATTACTGTGTTGTTCATACTGAGAGCACTATCTGCTGTTTTATATATCTCGTGGACATCTACCATCCAATACCGGAAAGGCGGACCTATCTCCCCAGCATAACGAATATTGCACATCTGAGTAGGTCCTAGCCTACACTAAAGAAACTTCAAACCAGACGGACAGACCAACTGTTCAGTATATCCGATAGTGGGGATCAAACCACTAAGTGCCTTCTCTCCGAGAGCTGGATAAAGCTCCAACAAATGTGAGTGAAATACCTTTTCCTTTGAATATATATTACACCTTGGACATACAATATTTCACCATTGGAAGCCTTTCTTCTCTCATTTTTGTCTTCACATATATGGACCACCTACCATAAGGACGGAGTGACATTTGAGGACTTACATTATATCACTGCACATCAGTGAGATTGTTTTAACTTATACTTCTCTTATATGTGGATGAACTTATTGTTTTTTACCTTCATTTATTTTTACCTTCTTTGCCTATCCTTTGCTAAGCGCAGCCCCCAACTCCTTTTTCCATAAACTCCTAAATGACTATACTCGACTGGTACTAAGATGTTATATTAGTCAAATCACGTTGCAAGAGATAACAATACTCTTCCCCTATACATATGTATTTGTACTTCACTCAAATACTGGAGACAACTTACATCCATTAACCTTAACCTACCTCCATACGAGTGGGAACGTCAAGATGAAGGGGGGGGAAATACTCGCCTCCTGTCATTATTAAAATTAAGATTATTAGTACACTGCGCTAGCATAGTCTTCAATTTTATAACATGACAGGAGGCTTCGTATTTGCAATTTTAACACTTAGGTAGAAGAGCGAATGCAGCGTTGCGCGTCGAACGAAAATAGAATGTCCGAAACGTCGATTCGCAGGACCAATCCGCCCTTTGTAGTATGTCTAATAATGATGCGCCTGCCATGAAAGCTGATGATGCCGCTGACCCTCTCACGGAGTGTGCTCCAAAGGCAGATTCTATCCCGGCTAGGGAGAGGAGCCACTTGACCCATCTGGCCAGCGTGGTGGTCGAAACCGGGCCGTGCGGGTTAACATATGACACCAATAGTTGCCGTGCTGTTGGTGGGCGCAAGGTTTCTGTTGCCGCCACATATGCCCGCAAAGTCTTAACCATACAAAGTTGAGGGTCTGAGTTGAAGAAAGGGTAGAATACTGATGACGAGTCGGATTTAGTCCATCGTGAGATATGGACTCCCTCCGGGTCGATGGAGAAAGCGTCTTTGTCAAATGCTCGGACATCTGACACTCTCCGGAATGAGGCCATGCACAATAGGAAAGTGAACTTGGCTGTCAGTTGTTTCAGTGACAATAGTTTGTTAGGGTGCCATTCCCTCAGGAAACGGAGGACGACGTCTACATCCCATAGATGTTGGTACTTAGGTGTTGGGGGTCGTCTCAATTTGATGCCCCGTAGTAGTCGACATATCAGAGGGTCTTGTCCGACCGCTCTCCCTTGGGACGGTACATGGGCTGCCGAGATAGCAGATCTGATCACATTGATGGTGCGATAGGATTTGCCTTCCTCGAAGTTAACTGAGAGAAAATTCATGATATTTGGAACAGGGGCTGTAAAGGGATCCAGGTCCCGTCCCATGCACCAACTGGTCCAAGATCGCCATGCGGATAGGTAGCTCTTTCGCGTTCCCGGGGCCCAAGAGTCCCATAGGAGGTCCTTAGTTGTTTCCAATAAGTCGTTGGTACAACATGCTCCCCTGAAAGAATCCAGGCCACCAAGGCTAGGCGGCCGTCCAACAGCATCGGGTGTGGATTCCCCGCTGGGTCCCTAAGTAGATTGTCGTCGTTCAGCAATAGAATCGGGTTCTGGCAAGACAATTCGAGAAGGTCTGGGAACCAGGGTTGGCTCAGCCATAGAGGAGTCAGGAGGGTTAGTCTTACCACTGTCTCCGGATGTGGTGTAGAACCCTCGCAATCAAGCAAATGGGGGAAAGGCATAGGCCCCTTGTGTTGGCCAGTGTTGGGTGAAAGCGTCCAGCGCCAGGCATTCCGGATTTGGGAGCCAGCTGTAAAATTGTGGTACCTGGTGGTTGTTGCATGAAGCAAACAGATCCAGTAGGAAAGGGCCGTTCTGTTCGTATAGGTAGGCGAACACCTGTGGGTTCAATTGCCAGTCGTTGGTGTCTCTCCAATGTTGGGAGTACCAGTCTGCTGTAAGGTTCGACTCCCCTGGTAGATGTTCTGCGCGCAACGTGATGTTGCGCGGGAGGCAGTAATCGAAAATCTCCTTTGTCAAATTCACCAGCGTTTGTGATCGGGTACCTCTCAAGTGATTGATGTATCATACTGCCGATACGTTGTCCATCCGTAGTAGTATACAACAGTTGGACTGTCCTTTCGTCAGGCTGCGTATAGCAAAGGACCCTGCTAGTAACTCTAGGCAGTTGATATGCATCAAGAGTTCTTGGGTTGTCCACGTACCTCCTGTGGACACTTCTCCATCCGTGGCTCCCCAACCCAATCAATTCCCGTCTGATTCCAGGACGAAATCCAGGTGGTTGCCTAAGATGGCCCGACCATTCCAGGCTCGTATACAGTTGAGCCACCATTTGAGTTCTTGTCGTACTTCGTCCGTCAGAGGGACTGGCTGGTTGTACATGGGGTTCCTCCGCAGGAAGCAAGCTTTCAACCATTGCATGGCACGGTAATGCAGAGGACCCGGAAATATGGCTTGTGGGGACAGCAGGGCCCAGGTCGGCGCCACCAAGGGCGTGATCAGGGGGTAGTCAGCTTTTGAGGGGCCAGAGCGCCAAGTTTCTGCTGCAGCCGCCCGAGCGCTCTGTAAAGAGCCTCAGGCGGCTGCAGCTTTGCCCGGGCGGTGCGTCCATGAGGGCGGACCGCACCGCCCGGGCGCAGCATGGGGAGAGGGGCTGACAGGAGGAAGCGCTGAGCGCTCCCACCTGTCAGCTCCCTCTCTGTAGCGTGGCCGAGCCCTCTATGGCATGGTCCGACCGGTACAGAGAGCAGCTGTCTCCTGTATCCGGCCGGACTAACAGGAAGTGAACACTGAGTGTTCACTTCCTGTTAGTCCGGCCGGGTACAGGAAACAACAGCTCCCTGTACCCGCGGACTATACTAGGCTCGGCCACACTACCACACAGGTAGGGGGGAGGGGAGAAGAAAGAAACAGAGAGGGAGGGGGGAGAAGAAGGAAACAGAGAGGGAGGGGGGAGAAGAAGGAAACAGGGGAGGGGAGGGGGGAGAAGAAGGAAACAGGAGGGAGGGGGGGAGAAGAAGGAAACAGAGAGGAGGGGAGAAGGGAAACAGGGAGGGAGGGGGGGAGAAGAAAGAAACAGAGAGGAGGGGGGAGAAGGAAACAGGGAGGGAGGGGGGAGAGAAGAAGGAAACAGGGAGGGAGTGGGGGAGAAGAAGGAAACAGGGAGGAGGGGGGGAGAAGAAGGCACAGAGAGGGAGGGGAGAAGAAAGAAACAGAGAGGGAGGGGGGAGAAGAAAGAAACAGAGAGGGAGGGAGGGGGAGAAGAAAGAAACAGAGAGGGAGGGAGGGGAGAAGAAAGAAACAGAGAGAGAGGGAGGGGGAGAAGAAAAAAAGAGGGAGGGGGGAGAAGAAAGAAACAGAGAGGGAGGGGGGAGAAGAAAGAAACAGAGGGAGGGAGGGGGAGAAAGAAACAGGGAGGGAGAGAGGGGGAGAAAGAAACAGGGAGGGAGAAGAAAGAAACAGAGAGGGAGGGAGGGGGGAGAAGGAAACAGGGAGGGAGGGGGAAGAAAGAGGGAGGGAGGGGGAAGAAGGAAACAGGTAGGGAGGGAGGGGGGAGAAGGAAACAGGTAGGGAGGGAGGGGGGAGAAGGAAACAGGGAAGGAGGGGGAAGAAAGAAACAGGGAGGGGGAAGAAAGAAACAGGGAGGGGAGGGGGGAAGAAATAAACTGACGGGAGGGGGGAGAAAGAAACTAACAGGGAGGTGGGGGGAAGAAACTAACAGGGGGGAACTAACAGGGAGGGGGGAGACATTGACAGGGAGGGGAATTGACGGGGAGAGAGAAATTGACAGGGAGGGGGGAGTGACAGGGGAGGGAGGGGGAATGAGAGTAACAAGGGAGGGGGGGAGAAGAGAGTGACAAGGGAGGGGGGAGAGATTGACATCCATCACACACACACACACAATCACACACAATGCACCCCTTACACACAAAGACAATGAACCCCTTGCACACAGAAAAACACACAATGCATTACACACACACACACACACGCAATGCAACCCTTACACACAATGCATCCCTTACACACACAGAAACACACAATGCATTCCTTACACACACTCAATGCACCCCTTAAACACACTCAAAGCACCCCTTACAGACTCACACACTTCATCCCTTACATACACAGAAACACACCTTGCAGCCCTTACACATACAAACACAGATTCACACAATGCATTCCTTACACACAAATCAGGACATCCCCTACACACTCCACCCCCTGTGAACAAACTCATTGGTGGAACATGAAGGTGGACCCTGGGACCCAGACCTTGAGCTGTGTAAAGGGCCCCCAAAAAATGGAGCTGCTTCTCGTTCTCCCAGAACATTGATTTTTGTGACCACAGTTACAAACAGCCTCCAGAGATCCTGTTATACACCAGACCAGTGGAGCCAGACTGCAGCTAGAGCCCATCATCATCCTCATCTGCTTGTAAGTAGGTAATCTAGTATATTATTCGTGGCACTAATCTCTAATTTACCTCACATTAAAGAAACACTATAGTCCCCAGAACCACTGCAGCTTAATGTAGTGGTCCTGGTGTCTATAGCCTGTCCCTGCAGGCCTTTTAATGTAAACACAGCGGCACTGCAGCACTAGCGTTAGTTAACATGGCAGGTCATATGGGTGGGGCATTGTGATGTCACGGGTGGGGGCGGCAAACTTTACTTTTGCCTAGGGCGTCAAAAATCCTTGCACCGGCCCTGAGTAGGCCGACGATCCATGCCAGTTGGCGGAGTGGGATGGAGTCCAGTTTGAGTACTCTGCGGATCTCCTTCTTGATGGCCGTCACTTTGGTAGATGGGAGGTGGAGTGTGCAAGACCTGGAGTCTATCTCGAAGCCCAGGAATTGGATTTTCTGTACGGGGTTCATTGCAGATTTGGCCCTGTTGATGACAAAGCCCTGTGATTCTAATACTGCCAGTTGAACTGCCAGTTCTCTTGTTCTGCAGAATAAGAGAATGTCGTCCATGTAAATGATGCATCTGATCCCGTGGGTCCTGAGGTGTGTGACCACTGGTTTCAACATTTTTGTGAAGCACCATGGTGCGGAACTCAGCCCGAACGGCAGGCACTTTTGTATTACCGAGAAAACAGAAACCCCTCTGGGTCCATTCTCGGATATCATGCGCCCATTCGCGCACCATGTCCGCTGTAAACGAGTCCGCTCTGGCGTAGGCTTTGTCCGCCAGATACATCACCCGGGCCATTGGCCCCATCGTGTCCAGGAGCTTGTCCTGCGCCCCTTTAAAACTCTTTTCGATGCCTCTGCTCGGGTCGCGTCCCCCTTGCTCCATGAACGTCAGCATGAGCTGATCGAATTCCAGGGTAAGGGCCACCTTGTCTGGCAGTTAAGTCTGGGACACTCCGCTCTCATCCTCTTGCATATGTGTTTTTCAAGTGGTTTACGTATCCAAAAATGCATGAACCTGAGTAGATGCTCAGGCAGAGCCCATTCCCCGGAGCGAGGGTGTCAAATGTTCCTGGTGTCAAACATTCTCTGCCCCGTGGCATCCAGGAATATCTCTTGTTCCTGCGTGGTGGCTGTGGCGGAGGATTCCGCCTCTCCTTTACCCTGGGGCTCACCCAGGAAGATCTCTTTAACATAGGCGTTGGAGCCCCAATCGCCGTAGTCAGATTCTGAGGCTTCTGCCTGCCTCTCATCCAAGATGGACAGGGAGTGGGGCATATCTTTCTCCTCATCCGAGGATATCTCCTCCCTATATGTGGGAGCCGTCGTCATGGTGCGCTTACTGCGCTTTAGTGGCGCCTTGCCTTTGGTGGCGGCCTTTTTGGACCCTTCGCCCTTCCAGTGGCGTTTTGCCAGGCGTTCTGTCTCCTTAGCGGAGTCCTCCAACTCATCCGAGTCTTCCTTATTTTGGCGCTGTTTGCCAGTCGGTTTGTTAGTGTCAGTGACCGCTGGTATCACTTTCGCCATAGCTTTTTCTAAAGACGCAGCTACTGCTGCATTGATCATGGCTTGAAGGTCACTTGTGTTAATTGTGTCCTCCATTTTAGTTTGGGCACTATTCTACAGGCACAGGTATAGATATAAGAGGTGAGGGACCGTGTGGGAGGGACCTGAATAGGCCGTCGGCCGTATTAGTATGACTCGCTCAGTGGCGTGAAAAAACGGACTCTTGCACACTGGGGCTCACCCAGGAGATCGGAAACTGCTTGGACAGGTTCCATTAGGCAGCACTTAGGGAAGTTCCTCACTCCTTGTTAGGCTACTAGGGTATACCTAACCGGCAGTCCCACTCCCCAGGGGTAGTAACACCAACCTGTATAGGTCCAGCTCAGACTTCACCTCTGCTATTTCGCTGGAAATGCTTCCAAAACGAGAGCCTTAGCTTGCTGTGATTTGTATTCCTGTAAAACTTCACCCACAAAATGGCCGCCGCGGTTCTCGCGAGAGACCCTGGGTGGCTGACAGGGAAAAGCCAGCGAAAACGGGAAGTCCCGAATCGCAATGTTCAGTGAAGCGTTTGGCGGAAAACTCCCGAACGCCGTTCGTGAGTTTTAACAAAACTGCCGAACGCCAAGGTATGTAAAAGAAACTGAATGAATAGGAATCCTGTCAATCTACACGAAAGGTAAGCTTCAGTGAGCCGTCCGTTCACGCAGAAAAGCCACGAACCGTGCGGTCACACTGTTCGCGCTGTTATTAGTGTGAACTGGCATAATCAGCTGAACGCAGGATGCCGCGTCCGTTCGTGCCAAAGTGTACAAATGTCGCTGGAAAGCCTGCTCCGTTCACTCAGATGGCGGTGCGAACAGGGCGGGAAACAGTGCTGAAAGTGGCGAAAGTAGCCACTGAGGGGAGGGGGGGAGAGGGGAACGCTGCCATCTCAGAGTGGATCTGAGGGGTCGCTCCAGGTGATTAAAGCAGTAGTAGAAACCCCTGCCACCCCCAGGAAAAAGGGTATAATTACAACAAATCTTTACATACAGTAAAATCTAGCATAAAGTCTAACATGCATAACCATACAGTTAAGAAATCAGTACTCTGACCTGACTTCTGATGGAGCAGCAAAGAAAGAGGAAATGATTGGTCTTGCTTGGACTTATATACTCTCTGACACACTCTGATTGGTTCTTTCTTTTAACAGTTTTTTCTTTGCTGCTATGGAGTTAGTAAAGAAAGTTAATGCAAATACGAAGCCTCCTGTCATGTTATAAAATTCCATTATTATTATAATTTAATTTATTTATTTATATTTTATTTTTATTTATTTTTTTAAATTGTATATGGGGGGGGAGGGAGGTGCACCAGAATTAGTTGGCATTTTATAATTAACAATAACTACAGGGGCAGATTATACTGCACTTCCACATACAGTGTTAAAAAGGAAAAGGCAGTGGAGACACCAAGGGGCCAAGGGGATTATTCACTAAACCGTGAACTGTAGCGAAATTAAAGTAGCACTTAAATAGCATTTGAGAGTTGCCATCTAGAAGCAGACTAGAACTGCACCTCTGGAGGTTCTAGGTAAAACACTGCACCCAGTATATAATAGCACAAAGATAAAACATGTAATGAATATCCAGCTAAATGTTCCTGGGAGGTGTTCTAGGGCATTGTGTAACCCAGGAACCATGGACAAGCAGGAAATGGGTCTGCTGAGATTCACCTTGTAAAAAATAAATTTAAGAAGAAATATAACAGTACCTGAGCAGTTGACCTATTATAATGGTTCCTACCTTCCTCCCGAAACTGCACCCAACATAACTGTGGCCACATGGATGTACGACCGCCAGCGAGTGCATAAGTGCACGTGCGACAGCGCCACGGGCAGCAAGGGGGGCCGACAGCCAGGAATGCTGGAAAGAGAATGCGCAGCCGAGTCAACCGCGGAGGCGAGCAGCGCTGCAGCAGAGCCGAACCCTCCCCCCAGAGTCATGGCCGATGGGAGCGACGCGGAGGGCGAGACACAATTCCTCCGGACAGCCAGCCCAAACACCCACAGCCATGCTACCGCAACGGTGCCAGCCCACGAAGAGGACGATCCAAACGACCAATACATGCACACCTGCAATCCATCTCTACCTGCCCACAAGACCACAGGAAGCAGGATGCCCGCGGAGGCCACTAGAATCACACCGGATGGCAAGAGAGGGAGCCGAGCCTCAGGAGGACTGCAGACAAACGAGCAGCCGGGAAACAGCAGGCCAGGCAATGGAGCCACGAGGACCAGGTAAGGGGGAGATAATGACGGCCGGAAATAGCGACATGCGAGTCGCTAAAAAACGTACGGGACGGAGGAAGGTGAGTAGGGGTGTTTAAATAGGTACCATGCCCCTCCCACAACTGCAGGCCAAGCCTTTACATATGTCATATTATTATATATGATCTGTCCGTTATTTTAACAGCAGATTGTGTGTTAGAGTCCGTTACTGCATGGATGATGATGTAGTTATTTCATTGGTGCAATAATTCCCTGCAATGAAAGGGTAAACGGATTAACTTTATGTAGAGTGAAGGCATTAAACATGTTAATATGCCTTAATTGGGAGGTATGAGATTGGAATGGGGGTCAGACGCCGAGGGTGTGAGTCACCAGAGATACAACCAGCATCACTGGCGATAATGGGTGAGCAAAGTCCAAAAAAGAGAAGGCCTTGTCTCCTGAAGCAGCCTGTCTAGCCTATCTCCAACCTAAAGAGCCTGCAGAGAGGACACTCTGCATTGTCATAGTGCTCATTCAAAGGTCAAGAACATCTGATGATGATGTGCTTCAACTGTGTCCCTGGATGTGAGATACCAGGGATACAAAATTGTGATGGCGGGACAAGACCGAAAATCACAACTGTCGAGAAGCCTTTATATTTCTGCTGTTGAAGGGTTTCATGATAGTTTCCCTTCAACAGCAGAAATTAAAAAAAAAAAAAACTTAGAGCTTTGCTTTAAAGGGACACTATAGTAACCAGAACAACTACAGCTTATTGAATTTGTTCTGGTGAGTAGAATCATTACCTTAACTTCACTGGCCACTCCTCTGATAGCTGCTAAAGATGCTTCCTGGGTCATGGCTGCCTAAAATGCATCCAAAGATTCAGTGTCTCCACCCTCTGCATGCAGACACTGAACTTTCCTCATAGAGCTTCATTGATTAAATTAATCTCTATGAGGAGATGCTGATTGGCCAGGGCTGTGTTTGAATCATGCTGGCTCTGCCCCTGATCTGCCTCTTTGTCAGTCTCAACCAATCCTATGGGGAAGCATTGTGATTGGATCAGGCTACCACTTCTGATGATGTCAACAGACAGCTTGTTTTTCTGAGGGAACAGCATGCAGAGTTACAGCTTCAGGCTTGAATACAGTAAGATTTTACTATTTTTAGGGAGGCATGAGGGAGACAGGGTGGCTAGATGGTGGTTTTAACCCCATAGGGTCAGGAATACATGTTTGTGTTCCTGACCCTATAGTGCTCCTTTAATGCTCGGCATCCACAATATATTTTAAAACATCTCAAACTTCAGGCTCAACCCAACAAGAAGCGCAGGACATAGCCAGCACAACTGCATGCCACATACCTACTGTATTTCAGTTTAAAGTTAATTAATGCAGAACTAGAACATGTAAACATTTCTGCCCTGTTTCAGTAGGGCATCTCACAGCCCAGTGAGCAACCGTTTAACAGAATAAACTACATACATACAACCACAAAATTAACCCTCATTAACCCCGGACGAAGGCGCAATATAGTGGTGCCGAAACGCGCGTCGGGCATTTTTTCGCTTATTCTCACTTAGTTTTCTGGTGTTCTATTTTGGACTTCACTTCTATGGAGCATTTAGGCTTCTTTTATTATTATATCTAATCATGTTAAGGTTCAGGTTCAGGTAGTGGTTAGGTTGGAGTGGCTGTTAGTTATCTAGTAGTGTATTTTCCCTCGGCAGACTTAACTAGCCAGCTAGGGATCCTCTAGATATAAAGATTTTAGTAAGTTTTAGCTATCAGTAAGGACTCACAAGTAGGACAAAAAATCTGGGCACATCTGTGGAAGTAGTGTATTTTGGGTGTCTGTATAGTTTATTGTTTGATACTTGCTGTATGCATGATCTGATTAAGACTTCCTATACCTATACTACCGTCCTACGTACAAAATCTCTATTTCATTCTACAGCTCACTCCTAAACAGCTATTTTATTGCTACTTAGTTGGTAGGGGATGTTACCTCGATACATCTATTTAAACAGTTTCTTTGTTTCTCAATTGTAAATATCTACAAGGTTGTTCACTGAGGTACATTCTGTTCTATTTTGTAATCTATTTTTATAACCTTTTCTTGATATATTTAGTAGACACACCATTTGGCATTTATCCTAGCACTTAATAAAGGAATTTTCCAAATATATTGTCATAGGTTATGTGATGGTACTGTCTTTTAGATAATTTTTATCGTAATTTGATTAAGAATTCAGATTAATCTAATTTGTTATTTTGTGATTTTCACTTTAAATTTATATGCTTTATAAAGGGCCATCCAACTACTCCGGTTCCTCTCCTTTGGAACACATTTTGTATAAGAAAAATTATTTCTTTACATGCAATATCGGTCAGTTCAATTTTTCACCAGGCCACATTAATTGGAACCAGTAGTCACATGACACAAAGAAAATAAACTGATTGCTTGAAAGCCTTTGCGGATATAGCAACATAAAATGTTTTATATTATATTATAAAATATTAGCACTACCTGATGTCCCCAGATCCACATACCCGTTTCTCGTCGTTTAATATAATTTTCATCCACACAATGTCCATGGGTTTATATGGTACCAGCACCATAAGTGTATCTGGGTTATTGTCTAAATGTTGGTTGAAATGAGCAGATTCAGGGTAGAAGAATCGCATTGTAGTTTTATTGCCGACATCCTTCTCGTATTTATGAACAGGCGCGTTGTTCAACCTGCAGAAAGAAATCCAGCGATCAGAACTGGGTAACCTATTCACTGGCAAAATATTGCAAAGAGCTAAGTATACAAGAGTTAGCCGGTACATGGAAAATGACAGTGTTATCTAGCTAATTTTTGTCTACAGAACTTCTCAAAGGCTGCACCTCCCCTGTTCTATTAGACTTAATGCTGGCCTGCAGTCCTTTAAGAAATCACTAAAAAGCTCCTCTAGGAAAAGCCTGCCATCTTCCTGGGTAACGTTTCTCATCATCACAGTCCTTCCAACCCGCACACATAACTCATGCTGTCACAGCCCACTCAAACCTCTCCTTACCTCTAGTCTCCTCAAACCACTCATAATCTCACACGATGAACTTAACACAGCGTCACATCATTCATCCTCTTGTGTCCTTCTTTCACTTCATCTTAGATTGTGAGTTTGCTATCTTTACCTCTTGTCTCTGTCAATACTTGATACCTAAGACTTGGCAGGTGAGCTTACATTTAAATGGCTGTTGGAGTGATACTAAAAACCGCCTGTAAAGTAAATATGCGTAGTGATTTGGGATAGTGGGCAGGGAACCTTTTTTTTTTGTTCTATGTATTTGGGCAGATATGTACTGTAGCCCTTGCTGCCAGACAGGACTAGTGGTAGTTTGAGCACATGGCTTAATTTTGTGTGCTTCTATTTGCTTTTGTATTACAGAACACGCATGTGCTCTGAGCCAGTGAAATGATCCAATCACATGAAAAGTCTGTGATTGGATGATGTGAGGGCACAGATTCTGTCAGACAGAGGCATGGCGATCAGCGCTGAGAGCTTTACCCGGCTTCCATGGTATTACGGGGCGTAACAGTCAATAGGGCATTTTAAGTTAAAAAAACATTGTTTTTGGGGGGTTATGGGTGGGATTCGGGAAAGAACGTTAAATAAATTCTAAGATTTATATCCCAAACAATTATACGTTGGGGATCAAAGGTTGTACCTGGTTTACAAAGCTAGAGCCTAGACTTTAACTAGGACATTTCATGTGAAGGAAGAAAGGAAAATCAGTTGCCACATTTCACGAAACATCAGCCGAGTGAAGTGAAAATCCGGCCTAATAGGATTTCACGTTTGTCATGAACCTTTGTATTTGTGTGTGCACTGCATTGAGCATAAACTAAAATATAAACATTCACAATAATGGAACCATTAAAAAAAACCTTATCACTGCGAATCATCAAATATAACACGTGTATTCTCGCCAACTCTTTAGAAATTAAGAGTTTTTTAATATTCGGCAATCTTTAAATGGCTGATGAAACGCCCACCTCTCAGCACTATGTGAGCCATTTAGTAAACTGTAATAAGACACGAAGTTGTTTAGCGACTGTTAGCGAGTTACTGTAACAGTTATAGTTACACCGAGGGTTTGTCATCTACAAGTCTTGGCAACTCTGCAAATTCAATATCAAGACTTAACAGGAGCCAAACGAGAGTCGCTCTGATTACCGTCTCCCTGATGCTACTTTATACGGCTATAAAATAAGGTTTACGGCACCATTTCCTTTAATGTGTTCTGTATTCCTAAGGCGGAATTTTTACTTGCATTCAATAACGGTTTTGATACGATGGGGTTCGGGATGGGTTATGTCATTTGATGAAGACAGATTTGTATGTAATCACTTTTCGAATTGCATCCATAAAATCTGTGCCTTGCAGAAAACAAACATCATGGAGACAAATCTGTTAAACATAGCATCGAACTGCGATTATTAAAATGCCAGGTTTATATGTTATAGGTGTTTGCTATATTTTGTATACAACAGAGCAATAGACATGCCCCCCCACATTGTACACCTGTCAGCCCCATGCTTTGTGCAAAATCATAATAACATTTATTATGATGTATTAAAGGGACTCTTCAGTGCCAGGAAAACAAACCTGTTTCCCTGACACTAGAGAATCCTGTAGTTAAAACCCCTTCAGCTACTTAATCCAGCGCAAATGTCCCTCAGTGCTGGGTCAGGCTCCACCCACCCTTCTCCCCCGCCGACATCAGCCGGCGGGTGAGACCTAAGTCGCATGTGCGGCAATGGCCGCACGCGCGCATTAGACCTCCCCATAGGAAAGCATAATTCAATGCTTTCCTATGGGGAAAATTTGACGCTCTATGTGTGGGCTATTAGGGGGTAGCTCATTCGGTTCACGAACAGCCAGTAAAGTCGCTGCTCGTGAAACGAAACACATGAATGCTAGCGGCTTTCAGCTGCTAGCATACGAATTCTATGCACATAACAGTATCAACCAAGGTTACACATATATTACAGCGGTTATTACAGACAACCTTTTTATACAGATAGTCCAGCATCCTACAAGTGGCTAGGTTTGCCACAGTATTAGAGATCCCGTGTTTACCTGATTACTATGTCATACTTGTTGATGACTTCACCCAGTGAACTGTTTCTCAGACGGTATCCACTTCCAACCACCACACATCTTCTACATGCTAACCTACAGAGAGAACAGAAACATTAAACCAACTCTCCAACTCATTAGTCCATCCAGACACATAACCCCTCCTAATCCTATAAATACATATCATGTATGTTGTGCTGTGCAGTAACGCAAAACAATATTTAACCCATTAAGCCCCTCTTACCTTCCCCTTTGTTACAGAGGTTTTACAGAGTAGAGAAAAAACAGAACTATTGTCAGTCTTATTGTAAAGTTCATTGGCTCCACTCTTACTTTACAGGAGCCGCTATGTCTGAAACTGCTATGTTTATAGAAAAAAGGGTTAACCCTAGCTGGACCTGGCACCCAGACCCCTTCATTAAGCTGAAGTGGTCTGGGTGCCTATAGTGGTCCTTTAAGGATGCTGTGTGTGTGAGGGGTGCAATATAAGTGTGTGTGAGGGGTGCAATGGGTGTGTGTGTTAAAGGATCTACCATCTTGGCCTTGGCCTGTGGCCATCACGTTTGCCTGATAGTCAGTCCGGGCCTGGATTCTACTAATGAGGCATTTGCCCAGTTATCTCACCAGCCTTGCAAGGAAGCTATTAGCAGAAGCAAAGTATTTCACTTTTAGCTGTACTTTCTTACTGTGTTACCTGCTCAATCATACACTCCGCAATAAGGGATAGTTTTTCCATGTAATACTTTAGTTAGTTTTGTTGTGGTGGCAAGCAGCTTTGATGAAACTGGGTAAATTTGGGCCTTTTTTGTCTACAAGCTACCGGTATTTATTTTGATGTTTTTTTATTTGGTCTTTTTTATGGTCAAAAAAGGAAGAAGTCAGAAGTAAGAATACCTCTAAAGGCAAATGTGTTTTCCTTAGATGAATAGCTCTGACCCAATGCTATGAGTTGGACAAACAGTTTTTGTTATACACTTGCAAAAAACATGTAAGTGATCATTTATATTTCCATCCAGACAGAATTCAGTATTTAGCAAATAACACTGTTTCTATTTAACCTTAAAAAAAAAAAAAAAAAATTAGTTTGCATTTATATATAAAGTATCCCTGATTTTCCAGTTCTGCCCCCCATCCTGCAAAGCTGCTATCTATCGCTCATACAATAGAAAATCTGGCAAACGTAGCAGGAATCAGACACAGTTTTGGTGAAATTTCGATATTTTACATACAGTCCTACGTACATACATGTCTGCTAGTGATTCATGGATAAAACACATTTTAAGTAAGTGCTGACTTAAAGTATCAATACTTAGAAATTACCACTAGAGGGCAGGCTAAGACAATGTTATAATTGTTATTTCTACAGATAGTAAACAGATTGCAGTAACCAGGAACAGAATAACGTTTTTGTTTGTTTGTTTTTTAATTTCTGTTTTGTTCTGTTTTTTTAAATAAAGTCATTTCTAATTAAGCTTTACCCCCCTTTCCCGAACCTAGTTTTTGTTTTTTTGTTTTTTTTAAACGGCCCAAGTAATTAAGGGTAAAAGCAAGATATAAAAATATTTTCAGCAGGTCACATTAAACCAGTAGAGTCTGACTTCAAAAAATAAAAAAACTATCCTCAGATTCCACATTGGGCGCTAATCTAACAGGCACCACAATAAAACTAATTTTCTTTGATACCCTTTTCTGGATATCTCATAGTTACATGTGATATTACAACTGCAGAATAAAAATGAAAATTACAAGTAAAAAAAAATAAAAATAAATATCAGAAGATAAAATCTAGTTCTCCTTTCTCCCAGTGGATTAATGGTGGGGTGAGCGAGTACCTTTCAATCTCTGGTGGTACGTGGTAAGAGTTTGTGAGAGCCAGGAATGTCATCAGCAAATATTCTGAAGGAGAGAAAAGCTGTCTGTTATAAAAGCACACTGCTAAAGAAGCAGACTGCGGACTAAGCACTTCAAGAGTTTCTAATGTCCAGTCACCTTGAGAAAATGACCTTACCGAGTCTCTGTGTTACAGCCGGATGTTCAGGAATAAGTACTACAAACACAAATAATCTGCAGACCCAATACTTTGCTGTGAGAGTGCAACATTCCATGTAACACAACTAATCACACCTCTCTCTGTATATTACATCATCATATATAATATGTAATTATTAAACAGCAGAATTATGTAGTTAATATTAGTAGATCAATGCACATAATAGAAGAATAAATATTAGTATTAAATATAGAAACACAAAACGTAGGAGATTGCAAACATTTCTTTGAAAAGATTTTACAAAATTTCTAATACTTGAATCAAATGAATATCATTTGATTTGACACCTAGAATATGAGTTCAACATACAGTAACAACACATTAAAGAACACTGCAGGCTTTGCCCACAATGTAAGTAACGGCCACTTGATGGATGGTTTTACCTAGTTATTATATCAGCCCTCACTAATTCCACTCCTCACTGAATTTACTCTTTACTTAACAATACCCCTTTCTCAGTCCCTTCGCTATGCCAACGACCTTCTCCCGACAACCGCTCATCCCCGCATTGCCAACTTTCACCTGCAGAATTTCTCAATGGCTGCCCCGAACCTTTGGAATTTGCTGCCCATGCCATCAGACTCTCCCCAGCCTCCAGTCCTTTAAGAAGTCATGGAAAACGCAGCTCTTTAGGAAACCCTACCATCTTCCTGGATGACGTGTCTATATTTTCACTGCCCTCGTCACTTTCCTCGCTGCCATAGCCCGGCTCACTCTCTCTCCTGCCACTGTTCCACATTCCATGTTTACCAGCTTATTTCACCTTGGCATCTTATCTATCAATCCCTAAAGCCTCTGACATGCTATTATTTCTCTTGTGCATTTTCCCCCCTTTCTCATAGATTGTAAACTCACCTACAGTTGTGCTCATAAGTTTGCATACCCTTGGAGAATTGGTAATATATGGACCATTTTTAAAGAAAACATAAGTGAGCAGGCAAAACACATTTCTTTTATTTCTTATGGGATTCATATTCAGCTGTAGGTTATAACAGAATGGCACAGTCATAATATAATACATGGCAACAAAGAAAAAAATGAAATGACTCGTGTTCAAAAGTCTTCATACCCTTAGTTCTTATTACTGTGTATTTCCCCCTTTAGCATCAATGACAGCGTGCTGTATTTTGTAATTTATTTTTTATTTATAAAATATTTTACCAGGTGAGGTCCCTAATTCTTGCAGGTGGTATAGCTGCCCGTTCATCTTGGCAAAATGCCTCCAGGTCATGCAAAGTCTTTGGTCGTATTGCATAAACCGCATGTTTGAGATCTCCCCAGAGTGGCTCGATGATATTAAGGTCAGGAGACTGTGATGGTCACTCCAGAACCTTCACCTTTTTCTTTTTTTTTTTTCATATGTAATTTTTTATTGAGACGAACAGCATTGACACATAATTGGCAGGAAGCAGATTGCATGTTAATACATCATGATTACAGTTGTAGTTAATCATTGCATTTGTGATACTTTCCACCAATCGGGTCAAGTTATTTCACATTATAATAGCATTCTTAGTAACGCATTCACAATGCTATAATAGTCAGTACATCTGTGTCGCTGCTGTCGTTTTTTTTGTTTAACAGGGATACAAAAAAGAAAAGGGAGCATAGGGTAGGGTAGCTAACATACAGTCATTTAAACCAGCATTTTATGAACAGGTATAAGGAAAAGGGTTTGCTCCAGTTGGGCGTTCAGTTAGTCGTGTAATCTATACCCGATACCCCGCTACACCTAGAAGGTAGAGTTCCCCGGGATCACGCTCGGCCGGCCCAATGACAGCGTGGCTTATGTTCTTGTCAGCCATACTGTGCCTTATTTGAAAGGCCATCTGTTCGTATGAGCATATGTTGTCTGTTCGGCTGGTAATCTCTGCCATAGAAGGAACCTCTTTGCTTATGCAGTGGAACGCCAGCCTTACCTTCGCCACCATCAAAAATTGAGGAATACTGCGCAGTGGGGGCTGGTTTCCAGATCTGGTATAATGTGGAGTATGTAGCGCTCAGGCTGTAGAGAGATAGTAAGGGTCGTAATACATGGATATTTGTCTGGATTAGTTTCCAGAATTGTACTAAAGCTGTGCATTCCCAAAACATATGATACATTGTCCCCTCAGCAGCCTCGCACCTCCAGCATTGTGGGGAGGCTGTACTGTAGATATGTGACAACCTGTGAGGCACCAAGTACCATCTCATGGTTATTTTGAAGTAAGCCTCCCATAGAGAGAGACTGCTAGAGGATTTTTTGGTTTGCACGAGAGCAGCTTGCCACTGGGACAATGCCAACTCCCTCTCCATGTCTTGCTCCCATTGTATCATGTATGGCAATTTGTCCAGGGTCCTTTCAAATAATAGCACATTATAGCGCAGGGAGAGAGGCTTAAGTTTCCTCTTAGTCATTATTTGTTTAGATTAAGTGTGGGCAGGTGTGGCGGGGTTGGCATGTTTGCCTTACACATTTGCAAAGTATTTTGCCCAGTGTATTTTTCTTATTTTCTTATTCTGTTTTGTTCTGCCCGTTTAAGGGATCTTTATCTTCTTTTCTTTTCCTCCCTCCTCTTTTCTGGCCTCAACTATTAGCAGTAGAAAGAGGGAAGTGCTCATGCCATTATACAGAACACTGGTGAGACCTCACTTGGAGTATTGTACACAGTACTGGAGACCGTATCTTCAGAAGGATATTGATACCTTAGAGAGGGTTCAGAGAAGGGCTACTAAACTGGTTCATGGATTGCGGGATAAAACTTACCAGGAAAGGTTAAAGGATCTTAACATGTATAGCTTGGAGGAAAGACGAGACAGGGGGGATATGATAGAAACATTTAAATATATAAAGGGAATCAACACAGTAAAGGAGGAGACTATATTTAAAAGAAGAAAAACTACCACAACAAGAGGACATAGTCTTAAATTAGAGGGACAAAGGTTTAAAAATAATATCAGGAAGTATTACTTTACTGAGAGGGTAGTGGATGCATGGAATAGCCTTCCAGCTGAAGTGGTAGAGGTTAACACAGTAAAGGAGTTTAAGCATGCATGGGATAGGCATAAGGCTATCCGAACTATAAGATAAGGCTAGGGACTAATGAAAGTTTTTAGAAAATTGGGCAGACTAGATGGGCCGAATGGTTCTTATCTGCCGTCACATTCTATGTTTCTGTTTCTATGTTAACTCATTTAGTCTGGACCTTAGATATGTCTGATTAAATTATTGCATGAATCAGATAGGGGGAAATTAATCATGATGGTATTTATTAGGTTATCATTTCCATTTTACATATCCATGTATCCCAGTCTTCTATCTGGGTATATGTATTTCCCAAGTTCACCAGGATACCCCTTTCCATTCTTGCTTGCCATATGACTTGTGATATTGTTTCTTGGATTGCAGCAATATTTTGAGTAAGCAATATCTGGAAAACTCTGCTAGCTTGATAGCATTGTAAAACTTCCGTGCACCCCAAGCCGCCATCCTGCCTTGATCTAGCCAAAACTTTCATTTTAACTCAACTTTCTTGCCGCCCTATACAAATTTAAAAAAGGATGAGTGTAGTAAAGATAACAAGTTTTCTGGGAAATTAAGTGCGATCATTCTCCATAGGTACAGCCATTTTGGTAAAATATATGCTTTTAGGATATTGATCCTTCCCGACCGGGAAAATCCCATACCTCTCCAGTCCCTTAATTTTTTTGTTCGTTTGGGTTAGTAAGGGTAAAAAGTTGGCTTCTACTAGGTCTTTTAAATCTGAGGTTAATGTTATACCTAGATATTTTAGCCTGTCCTTGTTTTTTGAGAGCCTGAGGTTTTGTACAAGAAAATTAATTAACCTTTTGTTCAGATTTTTAGCTATAAATATTGATTTCTCTATATTCATTTTATATCCTGACACTTTGGAGTATTTATTTATCTCCTTCAGAAGCTCTGGGACTGAGGTTTTTGGTTCTTCCAAAGTTAGTAAGATGTCATCTGTGTAAATATTTAATTTGCTTTATCCTAAGGAGTTCGTAAATCCTTTAATTTTTTTATTTTGTCTTATTAGAATCGCAAGGGGAACTGTACACCATTATGTACAGTAAAGGGGAGAGAGGGCACCCTTGTCTAGTCCCATTTTTAACACTGAAGTTTTGTGATGCGAATCCTGACCCTGTTACTTTAGCTGATGGAGAGCTGTAGAGAGCAGACATAGCTTGTAATATTGATCCAGTGATTCCAAATTGTTTTAAAGTGGCAAACATGAAAACCCATCCAACCCTGTCAAATGCTTTCACTGCGTCTATTGACAGTAACATTAGAGGGGTTCCATTATTCTCTGTTTCTTCTAATATGTTTATTATTTTTCTAAGATTGTTGATTGAAAACCTCCCTGGTGTGAATCCTACTTGGTCATTATTAATTAGTTGTGGTATGACTATTTTTGATCGATCAGCAAGGATAGTAGATAATATTTTTATATCTGTATTTAATAATAATATAGGTCTACAGTTGCCAATCAGTTCTAAATCTTTATCTGCTTTTGGGATAGGCACAATATTCGCTCTCAGCAGCTCTCCAGGCTTGCTTTCGGTTTTCATTATATAGTTAAAAATGGTGGTAAGTTCCCCTTTTAGGTCTTTCATTAGTTGACCTCTATTTCTGTTATAGGTTTGTTTATCAGCTTTAATTGGTCAGGTAGGATTTTTGGCCCCCTACTGTTCTCCATCTATTCTGCCTCCCTTGGTAAATTCATTAGCTCCTTTGGCTTCCAATATAATTTGTATGCGGATGACACGCAAATCTATCTGTCCTCTCCTGATCTCTCAACTGTCCCTCTTGACTAGTGTCTCTGACTGCCTCTCTGCTATTTCTAACTGAATGGCTACCCACTTCCTGAAACTGAACTTGACCAAAACTGAAATTCTAGTCTTTCCTCCCTCAAGTGTTGCTACTCCTGTGTCTGTCTCCCTACCATCAGCTCGCTGCCTAGGTGTTCTCTTTGACTCCGACCTCTCCTTCATGCCTCATGTTCAGTTTATCGCCAAACCCTGCGTTTCCATCTCAAAAACATTTTGCGCATCCAACCCTTAATGCCAGATACGACTGAGGTTTTGGTCCATTCCACTGTCCTTTCTCGCCTTGACTACTGTAATCCGCGTCTCAGTGGTCTTACGTAGTTCCAGTTTGCGCCGTTACAGTCCATAACGAATGTGGCGGCGAGGCTCCTCTTCCTGTCCACCCACATCTTCCATGCCTCACCCTTCTGTCAGCCCCTACATTGGCTTCCTTTAAGATATAGGGCTCAATTTAAAATTCTGGTTCTTCCTTTCAAATCTCTACATAATGCTACTCCCACCTATCTATCCTCCCTTATACACAAGTGTGTCCCGTCTAGGCCCTTACGCTCTGCTGAAGACTTACGTCTATCTTCTGTCCGTACTCCCACCTCTTATGCTCCCTATAAGACTTCTCGAGGGCTGCACCGTTCTTGTGAAACTCACTTCCTTTCTCCATTAGATGCTCTCCCTTTCACCCTTTCTTTTATATTTTAGTTTAACTCTTTCTTCTGGAAGTTATATGCTCTTTAGGTTAGTGCTATCTTTGCTTTTAGTGTAGTACCCTTTTCTATCTCGCGTTTCTTGCTCCTCAACTTCTTCTCTACTTCTCATCCTCACCTTCACTCCCACCTTCACCTTTCTCTCCTGGTACGCAATTATGTTTTATTATTTTTCATATTTTTTCCCTTCTCTTCTCTTTCACTCTCTTTCCTTTTTTCCTCTCTTTCCTTCCTATTCTGTTTCTTATTTTATTGCGTTAACAAATCGCGCTAAGTAACAGAAATAGGGGATAGGCGGAAAGTGGTGTATGAGCAAAGAGAAAGATATAGACAATAAATAAAAGAGAAGGCACTAGAAGTAACAAAAGCCTCTGGGCAACTCCACTGGCTCACTGGCGTGCCTTTTTAGTAATCTGTCCCATACTATGGGCAGAAATTCACTTGGATTAACTGGGTTTAAACAGTCTTTAAATCTGATATTCCCCCCTGTATGCAGCTCTCTATCATGTCTCTATTTCCCCTCTTCTTAGGGGTTCACTTATTGTCAGAAATCTCAATGTTTTTACCAGCCACTGCAGAGTATACATAGAGTGAAAAAGACAGAAAATTGGTAGCAATTGGAACGTAGCTTATGGAGGTGTGCTCCCACTTGCTGTTTTCTCCTGTTGGCCTTGTTTTACATTCACTTTGAATATGTTTGCACGGGTTGGCTCCCTCGTGTTATATGGCTGGCTGTGGCTTTATCCGGAATTAGGAAAGCTCCTTACATTCCCCTGCATCTCCGTTTTGCTGTACCCCGAGTGGCACACCAGGTAAGTTGGGTCGTTTTCTCAGCTCCCTCGATTGCTCCCTCAGTCACATTCTACGAGGACACAGCACGTCACGCTACATCATCTCGCTCCGCCCTCCTGTGCCGATGCCTCTAATGACCCAAGACTCCAAGGGGAGATCAGGAGAGACTGCTGTCAGAGTAGCCAGGAGAGCCAACCTGAGCAGGGAGTAGGGATCTAGCATTTTCTGTGACCAGATCCACCAAGCATGTAGTAGATTTTTGAGCATGCTAATGAGGGTCTACCATTTAAAGGTAATGGCACCTTCACCCATATCATGTTTATTATATTGCTCGGGTGTAAACAAGCATTCTCAATGGGCAGCCAAGGTGGCCCCACCTACTCATTGGGTTTAGTGAGAAGATGCACACACTGAGCCAGTAAGGACGCCCTGTAATAGGCTTTGATATCTGGCACACCAAAGCCACCCTCAGGGTAGTAGAGACTTTGTGTACAACTCGTTATTCGTGGGCGTTTACTCCTCCAAATGTGCACGTTTATCGCAGACTGAATTTGTTTAATAATTCTGTTCGGTAGTGTAATGGATGTTGTGCAAAACAAGTGTAGAATGTGTGGAAGTATCATCATTTTTATCGAGCTAATGTGGCCCAGCCATGGGATGACACCTCCATGTCATCCCATTGTGTCATTTTAGATCTAATCTTATGTGTGATCGGGACATGGTTTTCATGTGGAAGTTGGTGCAGGGATTTAGTCAGTTTGATCCCTAATCGACAAGATTAATGAAATGCCTAGTATTGTCACCCACATGTCTTCCAGGAACAAACCCGACCTGTTCGTCTGAAATCAATGTAGGAAATAAAGTTTAGATGTGGTTGGCTAGGAGTTTGGCATATAACTTAACATCAGCATTAAGCAAGGAGATTGGTCTCAGGTTTGTGCAAACTGTCGGGGGTTTGTTAGGTTTGGGCAGCGTCACAATAAACGCTTCCAACATTTCATGAGGAATCTGGACTGTGGATTTGATATGGTTGAAGAGTTTTGTGAGATGTGGTGTTAGTACAGATTCCAGTTTGATATAATATTAATTGGCGAGCCCATCTGGGTCTGGCACCTTATGTTTGAGCAGGGACCTAATTGCGTGTGTTACCTCTTCTTCCATGAACGGAGCCTTGAGCTAACCTCGCTACTCCGGGGAGATACATGGAAGCTGTGTCTGAGTTAGAAAGCTTTGAATATCTACCATGGAGGGTTGATGCGTGCTAGAATCTCTGTCAAGTTGGTAGAGATTTGCATAATATGTTGCTAGCTCTTCAACTATGTATTGTGGGTTATATAACTTGTCCCCCTTAGCTGAGGAGATGTACAGAATCTTAGTCTGGAGATATTTCTTTTTTAGATACCTTCACCTTTTTCTGCTGTAACCACTGGAGGGTCAACTTGGCCTTGTGCTTAGTGTGATGCTGGAAAGTCCAAGAGCGTTCCTTGTGCAGCCTTAGTGCAGAACAATGCAAATTGTCTGCCAGTATTTTCTGATCACATGCTGCACTCATCTTGCCATCAATTTTCACCAGGTTCCCTGTGCATTTAGAGCTCACACACCTTCAAAACATCAGTGAGCTACCACCATGCCTCACCGTGGGGATGGTATTCTTTTCACTATAAGCCTTTTTGACCACTCTAAAAACATAGCACTTATGGTAGTGACCATAAAGCTCTATTTTGGTCTCGTCACTCCAAATTACAGTGTGCCACAAGCTGTGAGGTGCCAAGGTGTTGTTGGGCATATTTTAACTGGGTTTTTGTTGTGGCATTGACGCAGTAAAGGCTTCTTTTTTTTGACAACTCGACCATGCCGCACATTTTTGTTGAAGTACTGTTGTATTGTGCTCCTTGAAACAACCACACCTTCTTTTTCCAGAGCAGCCTGTATTTCTCCTGAGGTTACCTGTGAGTTTTTCTTTGTATCCCGAACAATTCTTCTGGTAGTTGTGGCTGAAATCTTTCTTGATCTACCTGACTTTGGCTTGGTATCAAAAGATCCCCAAGTTTTCCACTTCTTAGTAAGTGATCGAACAGTGCTGACTGGCATTTTCAAGGCTTTGGATTTTTTTTATATCCTTTTCCATCTTTATAAAGTTCCATTACCTTGTTATGCAGGTCCTTTAACCCCTTAAGGACCAAGCTTCTGGAATAAAAGGTAATCATGACATGTCACACATGTCATGTGTCCTTAAGGGGTTAACAGTTCTTTTCTGCTCCTCATGGCTCAGTATCTAGCCTGCTCAGTGCATCCATGTGAAAGCTAACAAACCCATTGACTATTTATACACAGACACTAATTGCAATTTAAAAAGCCACAAGTGTGGGAAAATAACCTTTAAAAATGTTTAAATTGCCATTTTAACCTGTGTGTATCACCTTGTGTGTCTGTAACAAGGCCAAACATTCAAGGGTATGTAAACGTTTGATCAGGGCCATTTGGGTGTTTTCTGATATCATTATGATTTAAAAAGGAGCCAATCAACTATGTAATAATAAATGGCTTCGTATGATCACTATCCTTCAATAAAATACATTTTGTTTTGCATGATCAGTCATATTTTCAAAATCAATGCCACATTTTTACAATTTCTGCCAGGGTATGCAAACTGAACACAACTGTATCTATTTATGTACTGTGCATAAAAGATCTTTAACGACTAGATCTCAGCTCACACTGGGCCCTCTTTACATTTTCTATCGATCTGTGTACGGTCTTATTCCTTCAGCTGTATAACATTAAGGAGTTTTTGGATTAGGGATTGTGCTGGCCCCAGGTGAAATAATGTTGAAATCCTAAATTTTAGTCCTTCTGACTCAAAAAAACTGTTATACACCTGCCATCTCACCATTGTATTAAGAAATCTTATGAAGTCTTCACTCTTTTAGGCATGCTTCAAAAGTGTTGAGCAGTAGTATGTGGGATTCACGCGCACTCACACTGAAGTCAATGAACTAACTACAGTGATTCCTTTAGGAATCCGACTATGAATCATTAATGGATTTTACATGCGGAGCATATTAATGTCATATAGTGCTGGGTATCACTTAGATACCCTGGATCCACCAAATTAAGAATTTAGACGTATCTAAACCATGAGATGTTGACAGCCTGTCATTAAACGAAATCAGTATCTAAAGATAGGTGTGATGTGCTGGGATATAAATGGATCTGCTTCTTACCACTTCCATTCGTCCCATACGGCAGCCCATAGACAGTTTGGTTCTTCACCCAAAAATAGTCGCTCAACTGCAGGAAGACAGGGTGATCTCTTGAGTAACTGGGGGAAGATGCACATTGTAAGCGCCAATATCGATCAGGGTACAAATTAGTTTAGCGCAGTGCTTCATTTAAAAGATGTCCTTCTAATGCAGATTTGACCTTGTGAAACACTGGAATTTAACTATTGTCTTATTTCTGAACTCTTGGATCAAGATTAAAAATGAGTTAATCTTGCAAATTAAGTAAGACCCCAATGGTTGAAACAAGCATATCACCTTTATAAGGTAATACGTTTCCCACGATAAACTATGTAACTGAATTAGCCCTGGTACCCACACAGCAAGGAAGATTTCCCTAACACTGAGAAGGTAATAACAGATGTTTTGCTTTGTTATTTTTTGTAATAATTTTTTTTTTTTTAGAAATAGAGTATTGGGTGACTGAACCAGTAATAATAACAGAGTATTTAACCAGGAAAGGTACATTCAGATTACTCTGGTTTCTAAGTACGTCCAGGAGATGTTACTATTATCAAATGCCAGGGACTTGCCTCCACAGGGGGCAGCAAGAGGCAAAGTTGGTATAAAGTATCAGTAGTTATCAGTATCATTGCTAATGAGGTAAAATAATAATGTTGTTTCATTTCTTGTCCTCTCTGTATATTCTCTCTATACTGACTGCCAGGTGTAATGGGCGGAGCTTATAACAATGATTGACAGGGAGCTAAGATGGAGGCGGCTCTCTCTATACTGACTGCCAGGTGTAAAGGGCGGAGCTTATAACAATGATTGACAGGAAGCTAAGATGGAGGCTGGCTCTCTCTATACTGACTGCCAGGTGTAAAGGGCGGAGCTTATAACAATGATTGACAGGGAGCTAAGATGGAGGTGGCTCTCTCTATACTGACTGCCAGGTGTAAAGGGCGGAGCTTATAACAATGATTGACAGGGAGCTAAGATGGAGGCGGCTCTCTCTATACTGACTGCCAGGTGTAAAGGGCGGAGCTTATAACAATGATTGACAGGGAGCTAAGATGGAGGTGGCTCTCTCTATACTGACTGCCAGGTGTAAAGGGCGGAGCTTATAACAATGATTGACAGGAAGCTAAGATGGAGGTGGCTCTCTCTATACTGACTGCCAGGTGTAAAGGGCGGAGCTTATAACAATGATTGACAGGGAGCTAAGATGGAGGTGGCTCTCTCTATACTGACTGCCAGGTGTAAAGGGCGGAGCTTATAACAATGATTGACAGGGAGCTAAGATGGAGGTGACTCTCTCTATACTGACTGCCAGGTGTAAAGGGCGGAGCTTATAACAATGACTGACAGGGAGCTAAGATGGAGGTGGCTCTCTCTATGCTGACTGCCAGGTGTAAAGGGCGGAGCTTATAACAATGATTGACAGGGAGCTAAGATGGAGGTGGCTCTCTCTATACTGACTGCCAGGTGTAAAGGGCGGGGCTTATAACAATGATTGACAGGGAGCTAGGATGGAGGTGGCTCTCACTATACAGACTGTCAGGTGTAAAGGGTGGAGCTTATAACAATGATTGACAGGGAGCTAAGATGGAGGCGGCTCTCTCTATACTGACTGCCAGGTGTAAAGGGCTGAGCTTATAACAATGATTGACAGGGAGCTAAGATGGAGGTGGCTCTCTCTATACTGACTGAGAGGTGTAAAGGGCGGAGCTTATAACAATGATTGACAGGGAGCTAAGATGGAGGTGGCTCTCTCTATACTGACTGCCAGGTGTAAAGGGCGGAGCTTATAACAATGATTGACAGGGAGCTAAGATGGAGGAGCCTAGTTACAGGATAACGAGGTGTGGATTTAAACTTTTAAATGTATTTTTCACACCTTACAAATAAATATTTGTTAAACACAGAGATCAGTAAAAGTAATATTAAAAATCCTGGGAAGTAACAGATTCCCTATTAAGTTAGAAGTGCATTTTTTTATTTATTTTTTTGCACAGTTCACTGACAGAATATACAGCACCTTAACTTATTACAGTTAATCAAGCGTTAATCTCAGCAATATAACACAAAAATAGTGATGTACAAGAGATGGGTATAGTGTGAGTGAAAGTGAACGGAAGTTTTTGAAATTAAATGCAAGTGGTAGAATTAGGGAAAACAGTGTGGGACGATATAAATCAAGGCTCAGGCATAGACATTTAAAGACCTCTGGGCCCCCTAAAACATTACCACTCAAAGAAAGGTATTGATTGACCTACCCAATAGCATCATGTAAGCCGAATGCATGCTAACAAAGCTCCCCCACTTCTCATGGAATTATTAGCCAACCCCTCCACCAGTAAGACACAGTCCCAGGGGTTACAAATAGGTTGATACCCGCCACAAGGATTAGACAGCAAGACCACCACATGATTAGGATCGAGGTAAGCATTCTCCAAGGCCCACATATCAAATGGTGCCGTCAAGTAATGTGTGGATTTATAGCTTCATCCCCCATCACAGCTCAGTACTGCGATAAGCAGCGGTATGCAGGTAAGGGTTGGCAGGTGTGCCAAGCAGACAGCCATGATCAGAGATCCAGTGCAGCCATGGTGGTCGTCTGAGCCAGCAGCCAAGTTACATGGGAAGCAGCAGTGTCAAGTATGTGCGCCCTGGTCCAGGCCTCATGAGTTGTGTGTGTCTTTGTATAGTGTTGACCAACATTTCTCACAGAGGACATAAAAGGTCCTGAGGAAGACCTCCATCTCCATTGCTCAGTAGTCATCTCAAAAGGTATGTGAGTCCTCTGACCAGAGAAGCCAATGGTAGGGCTACAGGGTGGGCTGGGATAAGTCCCACCAGTCCAAAGAGGGTGGAGACAGGGCCGCAGCCACGTAGAAAAAAGGGGCTGGCTTGTTGCAGACATGCAGTATAGATTTACCCCACTCCCAACCTAAGTAGGCCTCAGTCATGGAGATGTTATATCTCCCCTCAAGGGCAGGGCTGTCTTAATCCATGGGCTGTCTTAATCCATGGTCCGCTGGGTAGTTGGCCCTCGGGCCCCACAAGCATAAGGCCCCATAGGCTTGTCAACTTTTCAGTATATTATTCAGGGAGATTTGTTCAGAACTTTCAAACCCTCTTTATTAAAACATTAAGGTCGACTAATCCTCTCAGTATCAGCTGTTATCAGTACATGCAATCTAGCTGTTGCAAATACATATTGACCTTAACAAAAACAGCGCACACGTGTTAATGGTATATAATGGTATATAAACAAGACAAAATCAACACAGAATTCTTTGAAGCTGCAAAGCTATCATAAAGTTTTTCTAATATTTTTAATAATCCATGGCAACTACTATCTACTAAACGTTTGTGTGGATTAATCTTTTATGTACAGCATGTATTTTAATGTTTAAACATGGATTGTTGGAAGTACCAATAACTATAAGCTTCATTATATCGATAATTTACATTTCATTCCTGAGTGGTTTCTAGGCAGGGCCCCAGAGCATGGTCCGGGGGCTATAATGCTGTGAAGACGACCCTGCTCAAGGGCCCAATAAACGAGTATCAGGCCAGGTCTCGGAACGAGCACCTCTGAATGCAAGTGACTACAGCTTCTCTATGGCAGATGAGTGTAATGAACGCTGATATTGCAGATACCCGTTCATCTGTTTCCTCCCAAACTACTAGAAGCTGAGTGATTATAGCTCGCAGTTTGGGTGTTGATTCGAATGTACTCCAGACGAAGTACAGCATCCAAGTATATTTCCCAAGCAAATCAGACGGATACCCAAACATCAGCCTAAACTAGATGAAGGGTACAACAGGAGTGGTTTATTCAGGCTAACCACCCGGTTATTATGCAGTTACAAATGTACAGGGTTTACGTTGACATATTCCAGGGGCATTCCCCACTGGACCTGAGAGAGGACATTGACAAAAAACATTCTGCAGTTACATTGGCTCTCAGGTCCAGGACACTCCTACATACAATAACATAATCCTTTCCCTGTACTGGTGAGATAATTGAGTCAAGCACTATACTAAACTCAATTTTCTAACACAAAACACACACATTTCCACAAGACCCAGAAAGTACCCCAAACTCCATGGAAACCCTGCAAAAGTCATATCCCCTGATAGCCCTGATCAGGGGGACCAACATATTCAAAAATCAACCAGATCAGTTCAGGGATTTGGGACTTCCGTGGAAGTCTTAATTTGACTGACCACACACGAGGTTCCTGCCCAGAAATAGTTCCATGAAATTAGGCTGTGCGGTCAGTCTTTTTCAAAAAAGTCAATGAAACCGAACAAATCCACGAACGGTTCCCCGGGCTCATTTGTAGCGTTTGTTCACTTAGTTTGTGGGAACAAACCTACTGAATAGCGCTCTTCTGACTGGTCGGCGAAAGGAAGCAGGCGTTCGCGAAGTTCACCGGTGTTCGGGAAGTCGAGTGTCCGATTTTAGTTCCAGACTCTCGATGACCAAGTCCTGCTGCCTCCTTTCATGCGAACGGCGGCAACAGGAACGGCGGCCACGCAGAGAGAGCACTTAACTTGCGGTCTGCTTTGTAGTTAATGAACCAGGGGGGTGGTCAGTTTTCGGTAGTTTTATCTACCGAACGAGGAAAATCAAAGGCAATGAAACAAAAGGTGTAGTTTCTTCACAATGAGTGATTAATTTTTGTGGACTGAAAGGTCTGAAAATTTGCGTCAGCATGGTGGTCCGGCCCTGCCCTCAGACATGTATTTTTCTGTTCATTAATGTCAGAAAAGACGAGAATGAATCCAAAGTGTTGTCAATACGGCATTTTGGAAAAGTAAAGGAGGCATACCAACGCTGGAAGAGTTAAAATAAGTTATAAAAAAAATGTGAATGTTTGGATCAGTAAATGAGATTAGCTGCTGAATATGAATAATGAATGATAGCCATAGGAAAAAAAAGTTTCTATATCACTCTATGTACTCACTTGCTGATCAAAATGGCGGCTTTGTCAGCGACATCCCCCATGGTGCACATCTCTCGGACAGATATATCTGAGCTGTAAGGGCATGATTGGGAAAGTGACATTATACTCACAGGCAGAGAACTTACTGAAATAGGTGCATCTTTAAAGGGACACTATAGTCACTAGTACAACTACAGCTTATTGTATTTGTTCTGGTGAGTAGAATCATTCATTTCAGGCTTTTTTCAGTAAACACTGCTTTTTCAAAGAAAATGCAGTGTTTACATTACAGCATATGAATACCTCCATTGGCCTCTCCTCAGATGGTTGCTAGAGGTGCTTCCTGTGGCAGTGCTGCACAGTGGGACTGTCATTCAGTGTCTCCTCCCTCTACATGCAAACACTGAACTTCCCTCATAGAGATTCATTGATTTAATTCATCTCTATGAGGAGATGCTGATTGACCAGGGCTGTGTTTGGCTTGTGCTGGCTCTGCCCCTGATCTGCCTCCTTGACAGTCTCAGCCAATCCTATGGGAAAGCATTGTGATTGGTTCAGAGGATCACTTCTGATTATGACAGCCAAGCAGGCATATCAGGGGCAGAGGCAGCAGCTTCAGATTTAAATACAAGTAAGATTGTACAATATTTAGGGAGGCAGGGGGTCTAGATGGTGGTTTTAACAAAATAGGGTTAGGAATACATGTTTGTGTTCCTGACCCTATAGTGTTCCTTTAATACAGATCAGAAGAAAATAACATCAGAATTTGGGTCAAAAACTGCATTCTCACAGGTTATTCACTAAACTCCGAATTTTCACAAATTGAAACCGAATGGCAAAACTAAGGCAAATAAATAGCCAAGTTGTGACAATAACAGAGTTTGAGTATTTTTCAAATCAGCTGTTTTTGTCTCAGTTATGCAATTCAGTTTTAATTTGCAAAAATCAGAGTTTAGTGAATAACTCTCAGAATTTAAAGAAAGTGGTGAATCTCAAGTCCCCTTACATCTCCACATACCATATTTCCATATACCATACATCTCCATATACCATACATCTCCATATACTGTATATCCATATATCCATATACCATACAGCTCCATATACTGTATATCCATATATACATAAACCATACAGCTCCATATACTGTATCTCCATATATACATATACCATACAGCTCCATATACTGTATCTCAATATATACATATACCATACAGCTCCACATACTGTATATCCATATATACATATACCATACAGCTCCATATACTGTATCTCCATATATACATATACCATACAGCTCCATATACTGTATCTCAATATATACATATACCATACAGCTCCATATACTGTATCTCCATATACACATATACCATACAGCTCCACATACTGTATCTCAATATATACATATACCATACAGCTCCATATACTGTATCTCAATATATACATATACCATACATCTCCATATACACATATACCATACAGCTCCATATACTGTATCTCCATATATACATATACCATACAGCTCCATATACTGTATCTCCATATACACATACAGCTCCATATACTGTATCTCCATATATCCATATACCATACAGCTCCATATACTGTATCTCCATATATCCATATACCATACAGCTCCATATACTGTATCTCAATATATACATATACCATACATCTCCATATACACATATACCATACAGCTCCATATACTGTATCTCCATATATACATATACCATACAGCTCCATATACTGTATCTCCATATACACATATACCATACAGCTCCACATACTGTATCTCAATATATACATATACCATACATCTCCATATACACATATACCATACAGCTCCATATACTGTATCTCAATATATACATATACCATACAGCATATCCATATATACATATACCATACAGCTCCATATACTGAATCTCAATATATACATATACCATACAGCTCCAGATACTGTATCTCCATATACACATCTCCATACAGCTCCATATACTGTATCTCCATATATACATATACCATACAGCATATCCATATATACATATACCATACAGCTCCATATACTGTATCTCAATATATACATATACCATACAGCTCCATATACTGAATCTCAATATATACATATACCATACATCTCCATATACTGTATCTCCATATACACATATACCATACATCTCCATATACTGTATCTCCATATATACATATACCATACAGCTCCACATACAGTATATCCATATATCCATATACCATACAGCATATCCATATATCCATATACCATACAGCTCCATATACTGTATCTCAATATATACATATACCATACAGCTCCACATACTGTATATCCATATATCCATATACCATACAGCTCCATATACTGTATCTCCATATATCCATATACCATACATCTCCATATACTGTATCTCAATATATACATATACCATACAGCTCCATATACTGTATCTCCATATATACATATACCATACAGCTCCATATACTGTATCTCAATATATACATATACCATACTGCTCCATATACTGTATCTCAATATCTCCATATACCATACTGCTCCATATACTGTATCTCAATATCTCCATATACCATACAGCTCCATATACTGTATCTCCATATATCCATATACCATACATCTCCATATACTGTATCTCCTTATATACATATACCATACAGCTCCATATACTGTATCTCCATATATCCATATACCATACAGCTCCATATACTGTATCTCAATATCTCCATATACCATACAGCTCCATATACTGTATCTCCATATATCCATATACCATACATCTCCATATACTGTATCTCCATATATACATATACCATACAGCTCCACATACTGTATCTCCATATATACATATACCATACATCTCCATATACTGTATCTCAATATATACATATACCATACAGCTCCATATACCATACATCACCATATACACATATACCATACAGCTCCACATACAGTATATCCATATATACATATACCATACAGCTCCATATACTGTATCTCCATATATACATATACCATACAGCTCCATATACTGTATCTCCATATATACATATACCATACAGCTCCATATACTGTATCTCCATATATACATATACCATACAGCTCCATATACTGTATATCCATATATACATATACCATACAGCTCCATATACTGGATCTCAATATATACATATACCATACAGCTCCATATACTGTATCTCAATATATACATATACCATACAGCTCCATATACTGTATCTCCATATACACATATACCATACAGCTCCACATACAGTATCTCCATATATACATATACCATACAGCTCCATATACTGTATCTCCATATATACATATACCATACAGCTCCAGATATTGTATCTCAATATATACATATACCATACAGCTCCACATACAGTATATCCATATATACATATACCATACAGCTCCATATATTTCCTATTACCATATATCTCCATATACCATACAGCTCCATATACTGTATCTCAATATCTCCATATACCATGCATCTCCATATAACGTATCTACATATATACATATACCATACAGCTCCATATATCTCCAAATACCATATTTCCATATACCATACAGCTCCATATACCATACATCTCCATCTTCATTTATACATATGCCATATTTCCATATACCATACATCTCCACAACCATATCTCTCTCTCTCTCTATATATATATATATATATATATATATATATATATACACACACACACCATACAGCTCCCTATACCGTATATCCATATATACATATACCATAGAGCTATATGTGACTCTTACTATATACCCTGTCTTTATCTCACCTTGGTACGAGCTGTATGTGGATATACCCCGTCTTTATATCTCCTTGGTACACGCTGTGTGTGGATATACCCTGTCTTTATCTCACCTTGGTACACCATCTGTGTGGATATACCCTGTCCATATCTCACCTTGGTACATGCTCTGTGTGGATATACCCCGTCCTTATCTCACCATGGTACACACTGTGTGTGGATATACCCCGTCCTTATCGCACCTTGGCACACGCTGTGTTTGGATATACCCTGTCCTTATCTCACTTTGGTACACAATGAAATACCCTGTCTTCATCTCACCTAGGTACACGCTCTGTGTGGATATTCACCATCCTTATCTCAACTTGGTACACAGTGATATACCCTGTCTTCATCTCACCTTAGTACACGCTATGTGTGTGGATATACCCTGCCTTTATCTCACCTTGGTACACGCTGTGTGTGGATATACCCCTTCCTTATCTCTCGTTCGTACACAATGTGTGTGGATATACTCAGCCCTTATCTCACCTTGATACATGCTGTGTGTTTATACACCCCGCCCTAATCTCACCTTGGTACACGCTGTGTGTGGAAATACTAATTCCTGTCTTACCTTGGTACATGCGGTCTGTGGATATACCCTGTCCTTATCTCACCTTGGTACACGCTGTGTGTGGATATACCCCTTCCTTATCTTACCGTGGTACACACTGTTAGTGGAAATACCCACCCTAATCTTACCTTGGTACACGCTGTGTGTGGATTTACCCCACCCTTATCTCACCTTGGTAAACGCTGTGTGTGTATATACCCCGTCCTTATCTTATCTTGGTACATGCTTTGTGTCTATGTAGCCAACCCTTATCTCACTTTGGTACACACTGTGTGTGGATATACCCCATCCTTATCTCACCTTGGTACACACTGTGTGTGGATATACCTGATCTTTATCTCACCTTGGTACACACTGTGTGTGGATTTACCCCATCCTTATCTCACCTTCGTACATGCTGTGTGTGAATATACCCCATCCTTATCTCACCTTGGTACATGGTGTCTGTGGATATACCTTGTCCTTATCTCACCTTGGTACATGCTCTGTGTGGATATACCCTGTTCTTATCCTACCTTGGTACACGCTGTGTGTGGATATACTCCTCCCTGTCTCTCCTTGGTACACGCTGTGTGTTAATATGGTACACGCTGTGTGTGATTATACCCTGTCTTTATCTCACCTTAGTAAATGAAGGTCCATCTGAAACCATGAAATCCCAAAGCAGAATACAATTGTGGAGATCACAAATAATGTCTGTCCTGCAAGAAACGTTTTATAAATTTGAAAAAATATATATATTTTTTACAGCATTCCAGTCACCAGGTGTCAGAGTTTTATACAGTTGGTTACATTCCGGTATCAATCTATACTGGGAAGAATAACTAACGCGAGCCAACACTGATCGGCAGACAGAGAGAGGAGGAAGTCCTGTTAAGTAGCCAGAAAAATCTCTCCCACTACTCCAGTCTGCCACCTTTATACACACAGTATATCAGTGGTGTATCCTAGTTTTGTGCTGCCCTAGGCAGGACAAAACTCAGGCGCCCCCCTCCCCCCGCGCCACCTTCTAAATACACACACACACAGTCAGACACAAACACACACACACACACAGTCAGACAAACACACACACACACAGTCAGACACACAAACACACACACACACAGTCAGACACACACACACAGTCACAGTCAGACACATAGACACAGTCCAACATACACAGACACAAACACACACACACACATACACAAACACAGTCAGACACATACACACACACAGTCATCCGAACACAACGGTGGCACACACACACACACAGTCAGATACACACACACACACACACACACTCACAAACACACACACGAGTCAGACACATACACAGAGCACAAACACATACACACACACAGTCAGACACAAACACACACACAGTCAGACACAAACACACACACACAGTCAGACACACACACACACACACACACACACACACACACATTAACTTTTTTTTTAAATTTAAATCCCCCCCAATCTCCTTACCTTTGGGAGTGCTGGGGGGGGGGGTCTCTCTCCCTGGTGGTCCAGTGGCTGCAGGTTGGGCGGGCGGCCGGCGAGGGAGCACTTCCTATGAGCTGACTGCTCAGCTCCCTCGCGCATCGGCTGCAGAGTGAGGCTGGGAGCCGGAAGATGACGTCACATTCCGGCTCCCAGCCTCACTCTGCGGCGTGCGAGGGAGCTGAGCAGTCAGCTCAGGGGAAGAGCTCCCTCGCTGGCCGCCCGCCTGCCAGCGCCGCCCGCCAGACCGGCATGTCAGTTAGCCGCAAGGCTAACTAGGCATTTGCCCTGGGCATTTGGGGGGCGGCGTTTTTTGCCGCTCCCTGAAAAATGCCGCCCAAGGCAAATGCCTTGTTTGCCTCGCGGCTAATACGCCCCTGCAGTATATGCATTTCCTTCTACAGTGGTACCCTTTTTTAAAAATAAGTTTCTATCCCTGTACCTCTCTGTAGCAAAATGGATTCGTATAACATATTTATTCCCCTGTTGTTCGGCTGTCCTTATCTCCTCTGTTCGGTTCCCGAACAGAATATGTGTGGTCCCCCTTTATATAACCCCATGATCACCGTCCACCCCTGGCGGTTAACCCCAAATGAGCAATTATCTCAAGTGCTTTCCCTGGGTGACCGCCATTCGTAAATATGAATACACATGCTCCAAAGAGTGATGGCCATTTTGTCTCCCGAACACATGTAGTGGTACTTGGTCGTTGGTCGTGTATGGAACTCTATGTCAGCTACATGACCCTGCATACACCCCGCATACACCGAGGAATATTGTACCACTGATCGTTCAACTTTCCAAACAGTTAGGAGAATGACGTTCGGGAGAAAGGAACTACCGAACAGGGGGAACATTCGCTCCCTAAAAGCCAGGGGGAGCATTCGTAGGTGTTTGCACAGGAGCCCCCAAAAGAAAAACTGCCATCGACTCATTTTCTGTCAAACTGTTTTCGGATATCACCTCGTGGCAGGCTGGTCAAAACTTTACCGGAATGGCGATTCCATCCTACTTGGAGATCTTGGTGCTATTTTGACAACTTGGGTGCTCGGATCCAAACTATTTAGGAATATGACTTTTGTGGGGTTCTGACACAGGTGGCGGTCCAAAGACCGGGACCCCTGTATGTCTGATGATGGTAAGAGTCACAGCGTGGAAATTAACTATCAGGATCTGGTGCAGGGTAAACACACGCCCCCTGGTGTTGAGCACCATGGTTTGTGCAGCCACATACCAGGGCCCTGATGCAGCTTTGGAGGATCCCAGGAGCTAGATATTATGCAGATATGTATCCAGTACTATAAACAAGGCAAGACTAGAACAGGCACCAAACAAGAAAACAAGACAAGACTAGAAGAAACCAGAACCAGAACAGGACAGAAAGCAGATCCCAGAACATGTACACAAGACATGAGGGAAACAAGAACAGGACATGGACAGGGCAGGACTGTACATGAACTGGGAACACAAGACAAAATAAAACAAGACAAGAGATGCAAGGCAAAACAAGAGGAGAAATAACCAAGTACTGTATATGTAATAAACATTGGAGATTTAGATTCATACATAAATGGCCAAGATGTATGCTTCCCACCACTGAGCCAAAGTACTCCAATACGGTGGGTCCTAACCGCCTAGATATGAATAACTAAAAGTAGAACAAAAAAAGCACACACATTACTTACCTGCAAGAAAAGGAGCAGAGGGATGATACCACTGCTAGAAGGGAACACTGAAACAAAAAGGATAAATGGCGAAGGAACGGGTGTGGCAACAAAAAAAAAACAAACATTTTAAGGAATCCAGGAGACTGTGAATTCCAGGAACGGAATAAAGGAATGAACCCAGAAAACCCAGCATAAAGAAAACCAGACATAAAATAGAAAACCAGAAAAAGTAAGAAAAACTAAACAAGAATTGTAAAAAGAGTACTGGATATCAGAAGCCAAAGCCAGAAATGATCCGCAAACAGGAACAGGATGTGACAGGTTCCTGTATAATTTTCATATGTTTTGGGGGTATTTTGTGATGTTTTGTATAACTTCCTGTCACTGAGAGATAATTGAGTTTTCCTACTTTGGACTCAATTATCTCTCAGACACTGAGGCACCTGGGAGAGACTTGTGCATTTCTCTATGGAGACCCAATTCTGGGGGTCTGTGCATAAAAAGCCGAGTGTGGCACAATAAAACTCAATTGACTCCAAGAACTATGTGTCAACTAGTTGCTGGGGGGGGAGGGAAGGGCTTTAATAACTGCATCCCTTCTTCGAGGAAGGAATAGCGGAGATACCTAGTCATGGTATCGGAGCTCCGCTACATCCTGAATATAAAGCTTCATGTTTGCTGCATCCATCACTATCCTGCCACGTCGGTTTATTACACTGCACAACTTATCTCACGATTATCCCACAATTATCTCACTATTTCCACTGACTAGGAGTAAGAGTAACTACATCTTTATGAATCGGATCATTAGCCCATCTGACCACGTAGGCTATAATATTAGTGATAATATTCATCTGGCTTTGTGTACATATTTGAAAGAACATTTCAGAAATTTGATTTTTTAATTATTTTTGGGGGGGATTTTAATGCCCTCTTTTTTTCCATTGTGTAAGAAATCACCATTTACGATCTCTGAATTCTTGTTTTACTGTATTTTGATCTGCATATTAATATTTGTACGATATAGTTATGTTATATAGATACTACCAGACCTGTAAAAAATGGGTTCAAGCTGTGACTCTTTATACTGCTCTGGGCTATGTATGGGCCTATTTCCTTTAGTACCCTTCCATTAAATACTTATAATTGTATCATTGTGCAAAGAAGTCTGAATAAAAAAAGTGTGATGCTGGGAGATATCCTACAGAAACCCTGCGATCCCAAAGGGGGCTTCCATACGATATCTAGATTTTGGCCTCTCGAGGCTTCCGAAATATCCTGTTCAATTGAAAAGCAAAATGTTTGGTACATAATGATCTCCCAGAATTAGGCAGTTATTTACTAAAGTGAGAATATTTTAATAGAATTTTACATTTTATGATAAAGTAGCCATTGACGATTTTTTCTAAAATGGCTATTTTGGCCATAAATTTGAAATTCACTTTAAATTCTAACTTCAGAGAATAACCCGCATCATCTTTCTACACTTGGAGCATTTTTTTTCCTTTAATGAATTATTAAAACAAACCATAGGAAATAATTAAAATATCGCCATGCTTCGCCCATTTGTATTTTTTTATTTCTGAAATGTAAAAATAATTTATCATAACAAAAAAAAAAAAAATATCTGAGACTATTACGGTTGACACACCAAGCTCAATCCTGCCAGAGACATTTGGACCTTATATAAACAGACCCCTCCCCTTGGTTGGGAAACCACTTGTCTGAAGTAATTGCTAGATGTCCTCGATTGGGACTCCCTCCCCATTCCCCCTACATAGCCTCTGCATCGTCCACCCACCATCCTGCTTCACGCTGCACCTTCTTCCTCCCCACACCCCTTTTTTTTCTTCTTCCTATTTCTCTCTTACACTCTCTCTGCACCCGAACATGTGACATAGTTTCATAGTTACATAGTTACATAGATGAAAAGAGCCTTGCGTCCATCAAGTTCAGCCTTCCTCACATTTGTTTTTTGCTGTTGATCCATTCATGGTGACTTGAGATCTTGTCACCATCTCGTTTATCTTTCACTTGTTATGTTGTGGCCTATTGCGCATACTATTCATGTGTCGCCAATACGCCTAACGCAGGTACCTCTATTCTGCATTTGTTGTGGTCACCTGAAGGTTACACTGCGCACTAGCACTTGAGTTTATGAAGCCATTGCTGTCGAGACAAGAGTCCTAACCTGCTACTGTATTCACTTTATAGTTTTATACCCTTGGAACTTGCTCCCAACCAAGCTTGTTTTGTTTCTGTTTCGTGAATTTTATTACATTCAGGACCTGCGTTTCCCTTCCACCGCAAGGTGCGTATCTCATCCTATGTCATGATTTACATACCTTTCTAGGTACCTGCGTGTACCACATTGGTTTATGTGATTAGTGTGTTATCCTCTGACAAGACAAACAATAAACAAGAAAAGAGGAAATTGTTTTCTTCAATAAAAAGACATTTATCAAATATATATATATAGAGATGTACAAATGCCAGAAAGTCCAGTAACACAATGTGATTATTGGTTAAAAAGTGAGAAGAAAGTTGGTGTTGAATTTCTTTCTTTTACCTTTTATTTTATAAAAGATAGGTAAATTGATATTTTCGGGTCGAAGCTTTAACATTAGCTAGATACACATTTTTGCAGGTTTTTTCCCAAGCAAACATCGTTACATTTACCTAACGCGCACACACCCAGTATTTATGAAGCCAGAGGACTCATTAACAGAACGACATAGCTTTTTATTGGACTTGTATAAACAATCTATAGTTTAAAGACTCACCTTTTGTACATTTCATTGTATTTGGAGGTTAAACACTTGACCTATAATTGTGGACGTGCTAAAACCAAACAGAAACCACAAATTACAATTTTCTCCATGACAATCCGCACAATACAGGATGTATGACCAGAGCAGGCTATACCAAGTGCACTAATTAGTAATTACATTCTTCATTACACGTATTAAATACACTCTATCTCTACTCCCCTCTTGCTTTATTATGACAGGACTAGTAGGCATCATGATCCAGGACTGCGCTAGTTATTAATCTCATGACCAAATTCCCCCATGGCAACTTATTATTGTACAGTTCTTTACGTCGATCCACCAGGAGCTTCAGGACTGAAATGTCTCCTGAATAACTTGGATCACTTTTTGCACCGCGGCCCCATGGGTCATGTGTACGCCACTGTCTGGGTGTCTGGAGTGTCCCTTTAATTGCAACTAAATCCAAAGGCCACTACTCCATACTAATTCTTCTTGACCTCTCTTTACCTGTGACACTGTTGATCATGCCCTCCTTCTTTAAATTCTTCAATCCCTTGGCCTGTGAAACTGTCCTCTCATTGTTCTTCTCCTATCTCTCCCAACGTGCGTTCAGTATCTGGTTTTCTAATGACACCTCCTCCCCTGACTCAGTCGGAGTCCCCCAAGGCTCTGTTCTTGGTTCCCTTTTGTTTTCTCTTTATACTGCCTCTCTTTGCAAAACATTAATTCCTTTGGATTCTGATACCACCTGTACACCAATATATCTCTCCTCCCCTGATCTCTCCCCCTCTCTCCTAGAAAGCATCACTGGTTGTCTTTCTGGCATATCTGAATGGATGTGCTCCCCTTTTCTGAAACTCAATCTCTCTAAAACTGAGCTTATCTTTCCTCTTCGTAACACTAATCCTCGTCTTTCACTCTCCCTTCAAGTTGATGGTACTCCATCAGCACACCTTTTAAGCTCGCTGTCATGGTGTTATCTGGTCTCACCTTTACACTTCATGTCCAGCCTAGTGCCACATCCTGCCTGTTCTACCTTAAAAACATTGCCACGTCTGCCCCTTTCTTTATCAAGATTCTGCCAAGGAGCTTGTTTAGGCTCTTGTAATTTCTTGCATGGATTACTGTAATTATCTCTTAATTGGCCTCCCCAGAAGCCGTAGTGCCCGTCTACAATCTGTAATGAATGCTGCCGCCAGGCTGATCTTTCTCTCTTGTTGCTCGTCTCATATCTTACCCCTCCTTACATTGGCTTCCTGTATCCTATAGGAGTCAATTCAAAGAACTAAATTCATACCTATAAAGCTTTAAACAACTTTAGTCCCTATTACATTTCTCCACTGATTCATAGGTACACCCCTTCTCTGTCTCTCTGATCTGCCGGTGACCTTCTCCTGTCCACTGCTCACACCATTAGTAATAACTCACGCGTGCAGGACCTTTCACGGACGGCTCATTTCATTTGGAACAGCCTGCCTACCCCATCACACTCTCACCTAGTTCTTAATCATTTATGAAGTCCTTCAAAACCAATCTGTTTAGAAATGCTTATGGCCTCCCAGAGTAACTTCTATTTCACAAACCTATCTCTCTCTCTTTCTCTTAAAGAGCCACATTCCACTTCTGCTACTTTCGCATCTTGTCGTTTCTTTGCTGTCCCCCATGATGCCATTTATATTGTGTCCTTATACCCCACCTCCTCTAGACTGTAAGCTCATTTGAGCATCAGCCTATTTTACATTTTGCAATTGTCTCATCTATTGTTAAATTTCCCCCTTTCATAAAACAATAAGATAGCATTACATAAATGCTAATAATAATGATAACTGACATTTGAGAAAAGAAAAAAAACAACCAATTAGCCACCAATAAAAGTCACATGCTAGATTAGATGGAAGGGATACGTGCATATTATAAGTAACTTAGTGTCCGGAATCAGAGTAAGAAAGGACTTCAACCTTTATCTTATCAGTGGCTAAAACAGAAATACTTAAATTAATGGCCTGCTTGGAATTTATGATCCTATATTAGTTTTCTTCTCTGTACATTGCCGCAAAAGAGAAAAATGTTTGTTAAATCCAAAGGGAAAACGTGTCCTTGTGGTGGATGCATTGGGTGCAGTGAGAAAGGATAACTCACACAGGGTTATTCAATAAAGCCCAGATGGGGAGATAGATAGCCA